CCTTTGACTTTTCGCAGCTCGGAGGCACTTTAAGCATTACTTTGTGCCATTTTTCATCCAGTCGTGGGCTGTCTTTAAAAGCCGCTTGGCATTCAATTGGCATTTGGCTGTCGCCATCATCCAGTGGACACTTGGACTCCCCTCATCCACTGTTCCTGCTTCATTCCCAGTTTTTTCTTACATATTTTTTATTTTTTGCTTTACTCACGTTATTTAAGGATTAACATCATTTTATGCTGCCTCGCAATGCCTTTTTTGCAGGATTAAATGCTGCCGTCTGCTGGCTCTCGCTCTGCTGTCACTGCACTTATCCAAAAATAACTTTATTGCTATTAAAATTTATTGTTATTTTAAGAAGTTAATAGACTCTGTTTAAAGTTGATTATTTTTTGGAATATTTTCACATTTTCTTTTGAAGTAAAAACTCAAGGATTTGGGATTTATTGAACCATATATAGAGATTTTGAAGTTATAAAACCTTATAAAATACACTTAGAATGTAGTTATGCTTCCCCACTCTTATATATGACGTATAAATAATAAAACTCTGAATTTTTTTCCAGTGTTTTGAAGTCCCCTCTCCCTCCTTTAGCTCCTTTGAATTGATTGCATTGCACTTTTTCTCGCTGTTGCATAGTTTGCTGATGCGCCGCCTCCATTCCATGGCTACAAAGTGATTTTTATGGCTTTCTGTCTGTCTGTGTGTGTGTGTGTGAATGCAAATGTTTGCATTGGTGTGCGAGAGTGTGTATGGGTGTGTGTTTGAGAGCACTTTGATGTTTCCGCATTACAAAGGGCGGCACTTTAATAGCGGCGCAATTTATCAAAAAGCAACCAAAAAGCTCGACAGCAGCTGGTAGCTTTAACACGCATACGCCCCGTGGGGTGCCGCAGCTAACAAAATTGAACAAGAAAAACTAGAGAAAGTAGGGGGTATCCGAGGTTTTAATTGATTCATAAAAGAAAACAATTAAAGAGCATCATCCGAATGCGCGTAAGAAACGTAAAGTTTAAACAAACTTAATGAGTCTTTTTGAACTTTACTTTAATTTATCTAATAAGTATCAGAATTGATACAGACTAAGAAGCCAAGGATTGCAATTGAAACACATTTTAAAAATTTAATTTCTCAATTTTTGAAAATGAAAAAAATCGACAAAATTACCGAAATTTATTTTTTAACCAAACATGCCTAGATCGATTTACTTATTAATGATGATCAAGAATATATATGATTTATAGGGTCGGAAATGACTCCTTCACATAGTTACAAGCTTCTGACTAAAATTGGAATACCTTTGCAGGTGTATAAAAATGTATATTTTAAATATCTTCATCCACAGATAAACCCCTTAATATACTTAATAGAAACAACAAAAAAAACCCTTGGCTATCGACTATATATCAGCACATCGAAGCGCAGGCTTTGTCTTATCCTGGACCACATCTGCCTTTGGGAAATAAGTCTCTGGGTTGAGAGGCTCTAAATTGATTAACAGTAGCCTAGCTGTTGGACCAAACTGGGGGGGGGGATGTGAAAGAGATGCTGTCAACGCTTCGGCGTTCCCGGAATACCTTCCATTTACATGCCATAATTTTTAAATGTCACCCGTTTACAAAAGGGCTTGACCATTTGATTTCGGCCGCCGGTTTCAGTTTAGGCCTTCGTGGCGACAAACAGTTTGAACCTAGGGTCCAGGGGCAGGTAGTTCTGATCGGGAACCCCAAATGAACTCATCCTTTTCATCTCTCTTTGTTCGATTCCATAGTTCAGCGGTATTATATTTATTTAGATCTTTATTGAGCTGCAACCTGTCGCAGCCGCAGTCGATTCTTGGGTTTCGGTTTTTGGATCGTCCCATTTTGTTGGCAGATTTATGTTCTTGCCTCTATCCAGATATCGATCTAGGAGATGCCATCGAAGGGCTGACCAAAAGTAACGTAACTCTCTCTGCATGAGGAGGCACACTGAAAGGATTTAAGGTATACTTTAATAATTACAAAATTTAAAGATATGTTTCTTATATTGATTAACATATTCACATTTATTCAATGAATTACAAGAGGATTAAAAATTCCAATCGTTGTAAATTTAAGCTTTAGAAAATGATAATAAATAAATATATAAACTACAATTACTTTACTATACTATACTATAATTTTCCTCCAGTGTTCCCTTTCTCTGATCGGTGAAAATTTCAGGGTAATTTGTTGGGTCCCCGTTTCCAAATTGTTTTTGTTGGTAGGTAGGTCGCTTGGGTTTTGAGGACAACAACAGGCTCTTGCCCAAAAACTGTTGGTGGCATTATTCGATTGTGTGTGCCCGGCTACCTTTTCCGGCTTTGTGTCCCAGTCGCGCGTGTTATGAAGATGTTAAGAGATCGCCGATACCCTGGTCAACCCCTGAAATATGTCTTAATTGTCCGGGGTTAGGGCCAGACATGGAAAAGATATAGCCAGTACTCCAACATATAGTTCCACCGGCTGTTTGCATAACTCCTGCGAATGCCTGTTTGCTCAAGTTTCATTTAATGGCCAGAGTTTTTCCTTTTTCCTTTTGAGGGTAACATGTGCCAAAGGACACATCAATTTGTGGTGGTAAACGACTGTCCAATGCGTTTTCATAGAACATAAATCATTTGGCCAACAACTAGTTCTATTTGGCCAGAAAATAAAATTTATATTTCATATCCAGTGGGAGAGATAAAATCCTAGTAGTTCACTGGGGATTTATATAATACTTACTTGCTTAGAAATGCTTAGAAATTTCCAAAGATTTTATAATTTTATAAAAATGGGAAATACCCCCAAAAATCAAACTCATTTAAGCAGTTTTCTCTTCTTTCTCCTTATACATTACGTATATATATATATATTTGTAATAACTCTCTAGTGTATATATAAATTAAAATAAATAAATACATTTTTTGGTTGTGTGGTTTTTGTTTGGTTTTTTTCTTTCTTCTTTTTGTTAATAATAATTATCATTACCATCGTCATCATTATATATCATTAGAGTTATCCTCGTCGGTAAAAACGCCGCCCTCTCGTCTTTCAAATATTTTTTGTGTCTTTATCTCATTGCATGCTTGGTTGTTCGAGTTGCTGGTTGCCGTTGTTGTAAGTTGTTGTTGTTGTGGTTGTGTTGGAATTACAATATTTTACCAATTTGACCGAATTTTCATGATGCAGTGTAGTAGTAGTAATAATAATCATAATAATAATAATAATAATAGTATATTGTATAACATATGCCGCTTTCTATGTGGATTCCTGCCTCCATTTGCACATTCCCCAACTCTACCCAAAATCCCCCCTTAACTTTCACAACATTCTCTCTTCATTAGTCGTCAACGATTTTTTGTGGTTTATTTTAACAAACAGAGCAACAAACAAAGAAATGCACAACAGGAGCCACATGTTCGATATGCTCCACAGGATACCATCTCCCTCTATCTACCAATCTCTGGCGCAGGACTTGGCCAACAAAGCGTTTTCTGTGCTTATCATAATATATAATTACTATTTTCTTCGGTATTCTGGATTTTTGTATCTTCGTATTTGCCGAATCTTGAGCAGTTTTGGTTCACTAACTTACTTGGTACTGTTTTGTGTTATCCGGCTATATATATTTAGAATGCTATATGTGAGTTATCAAGTGTCGCAAGCTGAGTCTCTAGCCGAAAGCTATTTATACTTATAGATTAATGTCAATGGGTCGGGGGATCAGCGCACAATGGAGCTTCTTCGAGTTGGAAAAGGGTTAATGGAAATGCGAATGATAAATGATCCTAGACTGACCTACTTACTGGCTATTATGTATAATATACTCGTAGTCGCGTTTCAGATTCTTGTCGTTTGTAAATTATTGTTATGTACATTTTTAGACATACAGTTCTAGAAGTTCCGAGCGAGCGAGACAAGTCCTGCCAACACAACACACACACACAGTTTTCGTTGTACAAAAATCAGGCAAATCAGGCAAAAATAATCCAAAGCTGAAAAGGAAAACGTGAAGTCCAGGCGAAGCTTGGGAAATTTAAGACAATAATAAGTAATAACCAAAAGGAAAGGCAACGCAACAAGGCTTTAACTTTTAACTAATCATGTGGCTTCTCTTTTTATTATATACTTTTCGATTTTCTTTTCTTTTCTCTTCTTTTCACTTGCCTATTATATTATTTAGATGGTACATATACATATGTAGTTTATACGCTAAGCTAATTATTTATTTAACAATAAATGTATATAGCTGCTTGACTGCTCCATCCTTCAGTTTTTCCTCGCTTTTATAATTATTATTATTATTATTATTACTTTGCTTAAGTTTAACAACGAAATTTTAAGCTGCAACTTCTTTGCAGTTAAGGAACAGAAAATGATAAGGAAATTCTATTTCGAAAGAACATAAACGTAATAAGGAAAATAATTCACAAAATCAAAAATCAAATTTAACAAAGTTTCCATAATTAAAATTACGAAATAATAATAATTGACTCGCTAAATTATAGATTTTCATAAACAGATTTGGTGGCCTGTGTCGCGGAGAGACTTCCCTGTCGAAGAAGAGCTTTACACTACAATTTTGCTGGACAAAATTAGATATAAGACTCGCGCAGCAGCAGCAGTCCGGGTCCGGGTCCGGGTCCGGTTCCTAGTCCGAGTCCAGGTACTGGTCAAGGTCAGTCAGTTGCTGTTGTTGAGTTTCTGTTCTTGGCTTTCGGTTGAGATTTGTAACATAATTAAAACGCATTCAATTAAACACACCAAAAAGCAAGGCGACATGGTATAAATAGTTGACTTTATCCTCGTTTTTTTGGTAGCAGCTTTTGGAATTATTTGAGAATTCCGGGAGATTCTTTCATTCGAGAGCAATCTCTGAGAATTAAAAGTCTACCCGAATGTCCTGTGAGAGGCGGCAGAAAGCGGAAGAGTGCAAGTTCAAGTCCGGGTCGAGAGTATTCAGTCCGTCGTTGTGTGTGTTCATTTATTGCTTCTTCTTCGGCTTCATCGGTTCTTCGTTTCTTTAATTTAAAGACTATTTTTGTAATGGCACAAAATATACAGCATTCAATTCATTTCCTCCTTTCTTCCTTATCCTTCCTCCTGATCGTTCCCTCTTTCTGTAGCGGTTCAGTAATGGTAACTTAACTCTATAGAGGCCATATATGCTATGCTTTGTCGGGTCCCCCATTCCCACTCTGGCTTTGCTCCCCCGGCTCCTTATAGTTCGGTTTTGGTTTCTGGTGCCACTGTCTCTCTTGTCCTCCAGCTACTGCTACCAAAATGCCCGACAACTCTCTGCGGCCAGCACTCGACGAGGCCTATGCTCCTTGCCTCCGGCCATCCGTTTGTCCGTTCATCCATTCATCCGCTCCACTTGCTCTCCTAGTATTATGGTTGTCATCTACTTTATGTTCCACTAGATTAGGTTGCTATTTTTATATTTATCTTAGGTATGCCGTTATGTTTATGTAGTTTTTGTTTTGCTTTTGGGTTTCCTATATATTGGATTTTTCCGGCTGGCTTTACCGCGGACGCGAACCTTTGTAGTTCGGGTTCGGATGGCGACTGGGATGACGCGCTGTAAAGGGAAAAAGGAATATATTAGTTGTTAGTCGAAACGAATTTTGATACCCTTAATTTTGATACCCTTGCAGGGTACTATAATTTTAGTCTGATCTGTTTTTAGTCTTGATCGGAATCAAAAGCTAAATTGATCTAGCCATGTCCGGTTGAAATATAACATTTTTCGATTTTCGCAAAAAAAAAGATTAGAGGTTACATCTTTAAAATTTTCCAAAATTGGCAAAAAATTGAATTTTTAGTAAAATTTAGTATGCAGATTTATTGAACTATGAAAAACAAACATAGGACCGCTTTCCAAATTGAAATTAATGATTTTTTGGCTGAGCTATGAGATTTTTAAACATTGGTTCCAATTAATTCCTAAGTTCTAAGCATTTGTTAAAGCAAATGAAAGCTTAATTTTAATTGTATTGCTCACCTTGTATCATCATAGTGGGATACATTCCGGCCACCTGCGCCATTTGCGGCCGGATATCATTCGACGGCGACCGTCGACTGTTGGGCAAGGCTACCGAGGGCTAAAGAAAGGATATAAATAGGGATTAATGTCCACTCAATTCAGGATAGATCCCAATTGCTACTCACATGCGCAAAGTACGTCTGGCCGTACTTGAAGTATACGCCGGCGGACGCCCCATTTGGATTGTAGCCACCAAGGGCGGCCGCAGCGGCCACGCCGCTCAGCACCGCCGCCGTGGCCTGCTGGCTGCCAGCGGCCGCCGCAGCGGCTGCAGCAGCGGCACTATGATGCAGCTGGGCTGTGGGAATGTGCGAGCGGGCGCCGCCGCCGCCACCTGGTTGCGGTCCGCCATTCGAGCCAGCCGCTGGCCCAGCAGCACCACCGGTTGCTCCGCCACCGCCGGCGCTGCCCAGGTAAATGGTAGGCGGTGAGGCAGCATTCATGGCAGCTCCGGTGGCCTGGTCCAGGACCACATAGCCGCCGGAGTGACTGGTGACCAGGGTCGGTTGTTGGGGCTGTGGAGCAGCGTTGGGCGTGTTGGCGGCACTGTTGTTGTTGCTGTTGCTGCCAGCAATACTGTTGGGCGAGTTGTTGCTGCTCTCATGGCTGCCACCATTGCCGCCATTGGCGCTGGGCGAGTTGCGCTGGGAAACGCTGCGCCGATAGTCCTGGTTCTGGCTCATGGACTTCTGGCTTCGGAAGCTGGCGGCTCCGGCATTCAGACGAATGGGTGGCTTGGTCTCATAGCCGCCGGGATTCGAGCTCGTCGCATAGCTGGGCGGCGGTGGGCCACTGATGAGCGGCAGCTGGTTGGGCTTGTTCTCCCGCTTGCCTCCCATCGAATGGGGTGGCGGTGGCCCGCGATGGTGATAGGTGGTGGTAGTGCTGCCGCTGGTGGCTCCACCGGAAGACGAGGAGGCGGCACCACCACCTCCTCCTCCTCCACCCAGGCTCACGCTGCTCGGCGAGGCACGCGGCGTTGGCTCGTTGTTGGAGTTGAGAAGCGGCGTCTTGGCCCCGGAGGGCATGCCACCCAGTGGAACCGAGTGGTGTCTAGGATTGTAGCCGCCGGGATGATAAGGCTTGCGCACTCCTCCCACAGTTTGTGCTCCAGACGCTCCGCCACCGCCGCCATTATTGCGCTTCTCGTAGGGTGAGTAGCCGCCGCCGCCTCCCTCGTTGCTGCTCTGGCTCTGGTAGTAGTGCGGCGTTGAGCTGTTGCTGTGGTAGCCACCACCGCCGCCTCCTCCGGCACTGCTGCTGCTGCCACTGCTGTTCCCATTGTTGCCGGGATGTGCCGGCGGAGTGCTGAACAACGGCGCCTGTCTTCCTGGAGCCGCTGGCGTGCTGGGCGCCGATTGGGAGGCCACCTGATCCATGGCACTCCCACTGGCCGCTGGATAGAAGGGAGCCGCCGTGATCAGTGCATGATGTGGCCCGGCCTGTGGTGGTGGTGGCGCCTGCTGAACCACCTGGGGAGCTGAGGGAGGACCACCGCCTGGACCGCCCGCCGCTGCTGCTGCTGCAGCCGCCGCTGCCGCCGCGTAGGGGAAGATATTCGTTGGGATCAACGCGGTGGCGTGTTGGGCGGGCAGCGCGTACAAATGTGCCGCTCCCGCCGCACCACTGAGATCCGTGCCAGGCGCTCCGCCGCCATGGGCCAGTGTCAGCGTGGGCAGCGCATGATATGTGGTTGTGCTGGCCGCTGGAGCAGCAATCAGCTGGGCGGAACCGGCCGCCGCATGATGGCCACCAGCACTACCGCCGCCGGCATGGTGGCCCACCGAACTGGGTTGGTAGCCGCTGGGATTGTAGTGAATGGATCCGCCGCCAGGCGTACGCTTTACACGTCCTCCGTAGCCGCTGGAGGAGCTCACCACCGCACCGCCATTGCTCGTCTGTTGCTGCTGCTGCTGATGCTGGTGATTGTGGTGCTGCTGATGCGGCTGGTGATGCTGTTGGGCTGACACCACCGCTGGGGGACCAGCTGCTGTCCCAGCTCCCGGCGGGTGCGTGTGCTGCACCTGCTGCTGCACCGGTGGCTGGGTGGCTGCCACCATGGGCGCGGCAGCTACCGCCTGCTGGGGCACATAGTACGAGATGGGGTGGTAATACGGATACGAGTATTGGATCGGATACGGGGCCATGGGCAGCTGCTGGAGCTGGGCACCCCCGGCGCCGGGTTCGCTGGAGTAGATGAGTGGCGCCTGGTAGATGGGCCCGCCATTGGGTGCCGCTGCAGTCGCGAACTGGGCCGTTGGATAGGCGGCCGCTGCTGCCATCGGCATCACTGTGGTCGCCGTCGCTGGTCCTCCCGGTCCCGCCTGATAGATGGCCTGCGCCGGGATAAGACCCTCACGCGGCTGCTGGGCCGGATCGAAGACAGGTATCATGTAGGTGCCACCGGCCAGCTCGCCGCCGGCCTCGGGTGAGGCAAACAACGTCTGAGCGGGCGGATGGCTGCTGGTCGTCAGCTGGAAGAGCGGCTGTGAGGCGCCGCCGGCACTTGGCACGCCGGGCTGTGGATACGCGGCATACACCATGCCCTGCGGCACCGCGTAGATGCTGCCATCGGGCTGTAAAGAGAGAAGAGTCGTATTAGTGGAAGGATTCATTGAATTATGATCAGATTTTTAGCTGAAACTCACCCCCTGCTGATATGTGGTGGCGCAGTAGGGCGCCGCCCCGTTGGGCGTTGTGGTGGTGTGAAAGACGGTGGATCCGTCCGGCGCCTGATAGCTCTGCGTATACGTCCAGGTGGTGGTCTTTGGCTCCTCGACGACGGCCACACTAGGTCCGTGGCTCTGGCTGGGTGTCTTGACCTCACACTGGCTGTAGGGCGTGGAGCTGGGCGAGACAGACTGGAGGTCGCAGTTCACCTGCGTGGCGGCAGCCACTAGAGGCTGCAGTGGCAAAGGCGTCTGGCTGGCCGGCAGCAATTCGGCGGTAGTGCCCACAGATGAGGTGGAAGAGGAGGGTCCGGCCAGTGGCTCCGGCTCCTGTGGCTCCTGCTGAGCTCCGGCATTTGCATCCATCTCCAGCGGCTTGTCACTCAATCCACAGCATGCAGGTATATTGGGACTGGTGGCCTGGTTCTTGTATTTTTGCACCTCGATGCGATCATAGTTCTTCGTGGAGGTGGAAGTGGTAATGCTCAGGCAGGCCGTGGCACTGGCCAAGCTATCACAATCGTCGCCCTTGACGCTGCCTCCATCCTGCTGCTGCTGCTGCTGTTGCGGCTGCTGTTCGTAGCTCTCGTATCCCTCGGAGCACTCCATGCCTGGCGATTGGGTCTCTTCCGCGTAGCTTTCGGTGGAACTACAGGAGAGCTCAGTGGTGACATACTGTTGCTGCTGCTGCTGGGGTGGCACCTGCTGTTGCTGTTGCTGTTGCTGCAACTGTTGCTGATGCTGCTGCTGTTGCTGCTGTTGCAACTGTTGCTGCTGCAAATGCGGCGACGATTTGCGATAGTTGCTGTAGCCACCGGAGGAGGAGTTGCCCTGGTTGCCCTGCGACTGGTATTGATTGCCTCCAGTGTGCTGAAGCGCCTGGTTGGGCGGTAGGTTGGACGGGTCGTAGTGGTAGATGGAACTGCAAAGGTTATATTTAGATATAAACTTTAATATCATTTGGCCACGGATCAACTAAATAGGGTTGAGTGTGTCATTTTGGTAAGTATTTTCTCGCTCGGCAGCATGCAACGTTCGAATAGACAAAAGTAAGTACAAAGATTATAAAGCGGCGATCAAAATATGTTGCTTTACTTCAATTATAAATTACTTTTTTCGAAATCTTCAATAATCTCTATTTTGACCGCAGCTTTATAACGTAAATAAAAGGAAAGTACAGACGGCTCAAGCTGCTGCTGACATTAGTTGTCAGAGTTTTTGCTCTTGGTATAGTTTATTTATATATTTTTTTGTTGCAGTGTGTTGGCGACGCGACGGCAGCGACAGCGACAGACATTTAGGATTATATATAAAAGTAATCGAAAAACAACAACAAATGGATTGATCGACTGATTGATTGATTGATACAATGCGAAATGCAATTTGAACGAACAACAATTAGAATAAGACGACAACACTGGCAGACGATACACGGATACATATTCATTCTTGGAGTTATTGATCAACGCTGGAGGCAAGGCAAGCTTGGTGATTTGATTGCGGCTATGGAAAGGTGAAACTTTGAGAGGAAAAGACTGGATATATCAGCTCAATATTATATTAAAAATGTATCTTTAAATAAAGAAAAATATGGCATTCATTCATTCATTCTTTTGATTTCTTTTTTAAATAACATTATTCCGATATATCAAACAGAAGATCGATATATCGAATTTTGCGCAATGTAGTATCAATATATCGATTCTTCTGTTATCCCTAGGTTCGAGCTGCCTCTGGCTGGGAATTTTAGATGTGTGTCTAAGTGTGGTGGTGTGGAGTGAGAGATAGAGGCACAGATCGAGAGATATAGAGAGATTGAGAGGTGAGAGGCGAATAGTTATAATCGATATTTAGTCGATTGCACTTGGTGTCGGTTAATTTAGTTCAAGTTTAGGCAGATAATTTACAAAAACAACATCAACAAGTCGGCACGAAAAATTAAAAGCTAAAAATGTTGCATATTTCACATATATAAGAACGTATTAATAGTTGTAATAAATAATATATATATAAACATAGCTAGTGTTATATTTGGATATTTTTTAAATATTTGCTAAATATTTAATTAAGCTTCAAGCAATTATTTTAACAGAAAACATTGAGATTTGCGTAATTGATGTATTACTCTTTGAAAATTGTAAATGGAAATATTTATTTTGAACAAATATTGATATATTCTACTAAATTTTAGAGATATTAATTTGATCGCCTTAAATATTTACTATGACATTAATAATACATTTTAAATGTTTGTAAATATCGCGTTAAAATTCTGTACTCTTTTGAAATATAGTTATTTTAAACTCAATATGCACTTCTACGGTTTGGTATTTAATATTAAATGTATATAACTTTTATAAGGATAAGTTAAACAAATACGGAAATATATCTGTAAAATTAGATATATATATATATAACATATATAACTGCGCCTTGAAGCCGCATTTGTCGCTCTTTCTATTCGAGTTAGAATGTGTAAGTCGAAGAACAAATAAATAAAGCATTTGCAGAAATTGTTTGGAAAAATACGAAAAATTTTGCAGCGATTTTTGTATATATCATGTTATTAATATTATCAATATTATTTTTAATGTTTGTGTGGTTTAAATTTGCTTTGGTTTAGTTTTTGTAAATTACCCGTCTGCATTGACAATTGGTTGGAGGGTTTGCGGATCAATGAGGAGGCTGCCAATTGGCACATTCGAAATGTCTGTGACGGCCCAGACGAGTCCCGATGTCCCCGAGGAGTTGGACGACGACGACGACGATGCCGATGCCGACCCGGAGGACGCGGCTCCCACTATTCCCAGGGGCGGCGTTGTTGAGTCGGCTGTGCCCGCCGGTGCTCCAACCACGGACACCCGGCTGTGGTTGTGCCCATGCCCATGGCCATGCCCATGACTGTGACTCTGACTGTGACTGCTATGGCCATGGCTGTGACTGGGCGGAGGCGGAGGCGGATGGTTCAGCTCCGGCGTCTGCCTGTCGCTGCCGTAGCCCGTGGGCGAGGGCGTGACGGAGTCGGAGCGCACGGATTGGGTGCGAGTCTTGTAGCTGGAGTTTGGTTGGGGAGGTTGGAGTTGGAGTCGGTTGTTGGATTGTTTAAAATGTTGTTGATTGTTGTTGGTTGGTTGTTGGTTCATTGTTGTTTCGTTTGTTGTTGTTGTCGGGGCATAAATAAATTTTGGTTGGTATCGGTTTGGTTTTTTTCGTATTTTTTTTTAGTTTTCAATTTTAAATTATTTTTGGATTTAAATAAAATGGGGAGCGAGAGCGATTTTGAGTTTGGGTACATGGACATGGTTTTAAGATAAATTAACTATAGTTTACCGGCTCCACTAGGTAATATTTGATAAAATGAGTTAAAAAAGATCATAAATATTTTACCAAATTGTCTTGATTTAAATTATATGCTAAACATATGGTGAAAGAATTCTGTTTAGGAATGTATATCGAGAATATCAAGGAAAATTGTAATATCAATATTGACGTTCAATAATAAAATATCGAAATTGTGGCATTCTCTTTTTGAGAGTTTACATTAAACATTTCAATTAAATTCTTTACAAACTCTTATTAAATTTAAAATAATTAAGTAACCTTTCCTAGACCTAGTGGTTCCGGTTTAACATTTAAACAAATAACACAAAAACCTGTGGCTTTCAGAGAACACTCACCCACTGCTGGAAGGTGACAGCCGCCATGGTGTGGAGGTGCTGCCAGTGGAGTCCTGCTTGACGAAGCCGCGTCCGCTTTTGTTGGAGTTTGTGGAATCACCGCGCGGCAGGGAATTGTTACCAGGACCACCGGAACTGGGCGGTCCACCATAGTTGCCAAAGTTGTGGGACTTGGGCACGGCTCCGCCGCCCGAACGCATCGATCCATCGCGTGATTCCGTGGACTATAATGCAAAGATTTAAGTTAGTAAATAGTTTCCCGGTGACATCAGTTTCATTCATACATTCTGCATCTGCAGCATCTTTCCATTGGGCCTCTTTGGCCTGGGCGGCTGCTGAGATTGCTTCTGCTGTTGCTGCTGCTGCTGCTCCCAGCCTCCGTAGCACTCCTCGTCGCCACCGCCTCCGGAATAACCATCCTGAGGTCCACCAGTTCGACTAAAGATACGACTGCGCGCCCGATCATAGTCCTCCTCGCGCTCCTCGAAGCTTTTGGCCTTGCGATCCAGGGAGAGGGGACACAGGTAAGGTGACTGACGCACCTCGTCGAAGCTGTGCGTGTCCCGCTTCAGAATCGATTTGCGTGCATCGTCGCGCACCAGCGACTGGAAGCGTATCTGCAAATCAGGGTAAAGTATCGATTAGGGATAATTATTCAGTTTTATAGCCGATTTATTTGTACCTCTGGTATGCGCGTGCCCTTGGTGACGGCCACAATCACACACTGCTGCGTCTCGGTGTCCACATTATGCTCCATGCCGAAGAAGGCGGCGGTGCGATGGATCAACATCCGATTGTACGAGGAAGCGGGCGGAAAACGATACTCACAGCCGCGACTGCAAAGGAGAAATGAGTTTATTTTTCACAATGTCGAATGATCTTAATCTAGGGATAATTGACTCACCTATTCTCCTGAACGAACTCCATCAGATCCTTCTCGATTTTGAGCAGAATATTGCGATCCTTGAGATTCTTGTTGAGAGTGTCGCGAAAGAACATTAGGAGATCGGTGCCACCGTAGTCCGTGTACTGTTCGCTCGAGTTCTCTGATTGATGAAAGACTAGAATCAGTGAGTGGATAAGCCGGGATATTTTGGCCACAAACACACACATAATGCTGATAACACTTACCGCGCGATATAAAGCCCGAGGTGTTGTTGCTGCTCGAATTGTTGGAGTTGCCGTTGTTGGACACGTTGCCATTGCCGCCGCCTCCTCCTCCTCCTCCTCCACCTCCGTTGTTGCCCCCATCAATGCTACCGGATGAGCTGCCACCAAGATTCTTCAAGCGCGGCTTGTTACCCTTGGCGTTGGTGTTGTTGGTTCGATGCTTCTTGTTGCCACCGCCTCCGCCAGCTCCCCTGGGCTCGTAGTGATACGGCTCCTCGTCGTGGTTATTGCTCAGATTGCTGTTCTGGCTGGACATCTCGTGACGCTCATGTCGATCATGTCGATCCGCCGCCTTGTAGTTCATTCCGGAGTTGTATATGACACCCGTGGAAGAGTTGCTGCTGTTGCTGTTATTGGAGTTATTCTGATGCTTCTGGTTGTCCAGGCCATTGGCCTTCAGATCCACCACGAACTTCTTGCCGCCGGTGTTGTTATTATACTCCATGCCGCTGCCATTGCTATTGGTGCGATTGTGCTGTCCGCCGGATTTCTTTGGTGGCGATAGCTTTGGGAACTCTGCCTCATTGCTGAGCGGCACATTCTGTTGCGGCTTCGGTGGCGACTGTTGCTGTTGCTGTTGCTGCTGCTGCTGCTGCTGCTGCTGACTAGTGACAATCACCGCAGGTGGCGACTCCATCAACGGCGAGTTGCCCCTTCCAGTTGATTGTGCTTTGCTGTTGTTGTTATTGTTATTGCTGATTATGGCATTATTGTTGTTGTTGTTGTTATTATTATTGTTGTTGTTTTCATGGGCTTCCCCCTGGAGCTGCTCGGAGGCGGCGCGCGGCGTTGGCGTGCGCGGTGGCGATGTCGACTCACGCATCGCATGGCTGCGTGTGAGATGTTTGCCCTTCATGTTGCCCTGTTGCAAAGGGGGAAAACGAAAAGGAAAAGGGGCAATCAGAAGTTGTCGGGGGGTTGTAAGGTAATTAGTTTCAAATTAGTAAACCAAAATTGAATGCCAAAGTTGACCACTACAGGTGAGTGTACAGTAAAGCCTTGTTATGAAGCTCCTCTTTTTCGAATGAAATATACTTGCTTTGACTATATATTAGTGGTGCTTAAAAGCCAGACTCCTGACTTAAATCTCTGTATCTTCAAACTATTTAAAAAATATATAAATATTCTCATTTTAAAAGTCCTACAAGATGATCTACTTTACTAAACAAAAGGCCTACTTGAACGGCATTTCACAGTGAAAAGCCATGATGCAATTGTTGGCACATTGAAATGTGAAAAACAAACTCGGCTCGACGTCTCACACTCTCACCGGAAAAACCGAAAAGGTTAGACAGGCAGGGAGTAAACTCCGCCTCTGTGCCGTATAATATACGATAGGCTATAGTATACTGTATATACCCCATCCTAGCCTGGGACTCGGATTGCCTTTTGACATTATTCGCGCGACCTGAAGGACAGAGGATATCGAGGATGAAACTCACTGGGGCGTTCGTTTCAGTCAGTCTGTCAGTCGATTCAAGTTTAGTCATCACATTAATTTGGTTCTTTTATTATTTGTTTGCTACGTTCATTGATTTTCCCAAGACTGACATCATTAATCAGCTGGTTGAAGTCACTTGAAAGGTGGCGATGGGTCTAAATTAACACTTGAGGCCTCAAAGAAGTGAGGGAAGGTAAAAGCAATAAGGTTCAAACTCAGAGCAGTGGAAGTATTTACAAATAATATATTTACTTGAACCTTTAATGTACTCCTCAATCTGTCACAAACACGAAAATTCAACTTAATTACCAGTCAATTGACCGCTTTTCCCACTTAAAAGAAAAACTTCCAAGCAGGCTTGGCCAATTTACAAACAAAAATTCCCCGAAACTGTCTTACTGCTCAAATACTAAATTATAAAACAGATTTCCTGGAATCTGATTTACCGCCCATTTAACTTTCATTGTGGGGAAGGAGGGGAAAATCAATAAATCGACCTTGGAGCCACGCAGCAGCAGCAGCTGCCAGTGAATGCTCCCAAAAATTGTCCAAAGGGGGAGAAACACTCTAACGCTCCGAACACATAAACAATGATTGACGATAAATCCTGTATGAGCAGTTAACCAAGGCAACCGACTGGGTTGACCGAAAAGGGGTGTCCAACAACACCCACACCACCCACTCATACATACATAAACCTTGAACTCTGGTGTGCTGGCAAAAAGAGCGTTTAGAGCCGTCTGGGATTATGGGGGCGGCAGTAACTGACTGCAGGAGCCAGGAGCAATCAGAAACACGTTTACCAATTGCACACTGCACACTCTGCTGCACACTCTCTTCGGGGTCGATTGGGGAATTTCCAGCTATTGCGATTCGCAGAATATAGTAATTCCACCCATTCCCGCACCCACCCACCAGGGCTCCTCCTCCGCATTGGACTGCCAGTGACCTGACCCAGTTTATTAGACGGTTTTTTGGGCGTGTATCCTCTTTTGCTCGAGAGTTCAGTTCATGGCTGCACTTATTGTGTGTGAGTGTGTGTGTGTGCATCCTGCGAGAGAGATTGTCCCAGCGAGAGAGAAACGAGAGCAGAGTCCCGACCAGATGATGATGATGATGAGCGGAGAGGAGCCCAAAATGCAACTCGACACCTGACAAGATGTGACCTGACCTATATAATCCTCGCCTACGCCTGTCCAAGCATTTTCAAATTAACCTTATTTCCACATTCTGAAAGTTTTTTTGCTACATAAAAAACATTGTCAGACCCTAACTTTTAAATAATTTATGACAAGCAAGGCAAGGATGCCTTAAGTCATAAGATGTATGTTGTTATTTAAGGAAGCGAGCTTCTTATGTGCTCCTTTAATTGAAATACCCTTTGAAAAACTCTTTAAATATTTAAAATATCATTAACTTGGCTATAGTGTTTGTCCAATCATTATATATTAATTAAAAAAGGTCCTAGCTGTCCCATTAACTATTAAATTTGTTAAATATTTATACAACTACCTAGACTTATTTTGCAACTTACCCGTCTGTTGCCGAAGCTATTCTGGCGTCCCAAATTGGCAGCTCCTCCGTTTCCGGATCCTGGCACTGTCTGGAACTCCTCGCTGCAGTTGTTGTTACTATTACTGTTGCTGCTGCTGCTGTTGCTGTTGCAGTTGCTTGTGGTTACTGCAGCAACACAGGGTGCTGCAACAGTGGTGGTGGCGGTGGCAACAACAACAGAGGATGTTGCGGCTGCTGCTGCTGCTGTTGGGACAACAGTTCCAACAACAGTTGTTGTTCCCGTTGCTGATCCCGTTGGGACAGAGGAAGATGCTGATCCTGTGACTGCAGCAGGTCCGCTGGCAGCAACAGTGACTCCTCCTACTACTCCTCCTCCTCCAAGTCCCACACCCGCTCCCAATCCGGAGGATGAGTTAGTGTTTGAGGCAACGGCGGCGTTGGCACTGGCAACAACTACAACGGCGGCCGCAGCGGCCGCTGTTGAGGCAGAAGCGGCAGAGGATAAATTGGTTGGAATATTCGTAGCTAGGGCTACTTGAGATTTTGTGGAACTCATAATCACAGTTTATGTCAAGTGTACTGAAAAAATGAAGTAAAAAAAGTACAAGTTAGTAAATAATTATCTATTTTAATAAATAAATTAAAGAACAGCAACTGATTTATTATAATAATCAAGAAATATGTAAAGTTCTTTGATTAGGATTCAGAAAATAGCACACAACTGATCATATTTACTATTGACTTCCATCCATTATATTATTTATTATAATAATCTAGAAATATGTAAAGTTCTTTGATTAGGATTCAGAAAGTAGCACACAACTGATCATATTTACTATTAACTTCCATCCATTATAAGAAATACTTAAATATATCCAATAAAGTAACTAGAATTTCTGTAAACAAATATATTTGAATGAAAATATAATATATATTTAATAATGATATTATGACACTACATTGAGACAAGTATAATATGATCGAAAGGTCATACTTTCCTTTCTTCAGTTCAAAAACTTAAACAGTTGTACTGCTTCTATATAGTTATACAAAAACATATATAATTTTTCTTTATGACAAAAAAAACCTTATTTCTTTCACAATTTATCAAAGGAATTTTTAAAACAACAAAGTAGTTCTCATAACACCATAAAACATCTCAAGTAAATGCAATTACCACACTTTTATTAATAAATAATTACCTCAAGTGAGTTAGACTATTGCATTTTGTTTACACGGTTTTATGTAGCTCCAAAAATTTGTTAACAAATTTTCGTTAGATTTGGTTAGTTATTTTGTCTTTTGTTCTGGTTTATGCTGTCTGCGGTTCATAAGAATTTCTGCATAGTTTCTTTTATTTGTTTTAAGTATATTTGTACGAATATTTTAAAAGTTTTTTTTTTAATATTTTGGTATTTTTGTTTCAGAAAAAAATCATATTTGTCGAAAAGTTGCGGCAGTGCAGTTGAGAGAATATATACTTGATATAAAAAGAGGTTGAACCAAATAACTCTGACGCTGATGTTGCTTTTCACTCGATTTTCTTTGGTTTTTGTGCGACTTATGATTAGTTTACTTTCAGTTTAGTTTTGTTTATAAGATGCAAGGCTTAGGATTTTGTAGATAAATAGTTATTGTATTGGATTTTTGGTGGCAAAAAACTTTGCGAAGAGAGGAAAAATAAAACACAATTTTTGGTTTTGGTTTCCTGTCGTTTTTTCTTTTTTTGGTATTGTTTATGTTATTGAGTTTAAAACGTTTGGTTTTTGTATTTGGGGTTTGTTTGTTTGTTTTTTTATAACGTTGTTTATCACATTTACACCATATCACCGAAAATCAGAAGCTGCCCTCGCTTTTCTTTGGTCTGTACACTTGCTTGATTTTCCCAGTTATTTTTGTTTAAAAATTAATTCATTTATGCACTAAACACTTAAGTGGCTATTTCTATAATTAATTTTATAATATATATGTATGTATATTGTATAGTTAAAAATATTTTAGTTAAAGCTTTCTCTTTCTTCTTGTTGTTTTGTGATTATTTCTCTCGCCTAATATTATGTTGTATTATGTTATGTTTTTTTTTCCTTCACAATATTTCCTTTTGTTTATTTATACGGAGATACTCCAGTGCGGTTTAGTATTTGTTGATGTCTATATAGTTCAGGTTCTGTGAGGATTTCTTTGATTTCCTGTTATTTCTAGTGGCACACATTATTTTACTATCTGCAAAGTCGTAGGAAGTTTATTTAGTAGAGCACGATATTTGAGGGCTTTTCCGCGCACGCCAGAGCCATATATCTCTGGCGAGAGTGAGAGAAAGAAAGAGAGCAAGTAAGAGAGAGAGAGAGCGAGAGGCTGAGAGAAAGGGAGGAACTTAATAGGGGAAAACACGCACACACACCAATAAAAAATATGACCTTGTTTACGATTTATTTTGATATTCAAAACTGCACGACGACGCCGAAGTACCCAAAGGCGAGAAAACCGATTTCATGATGCGAATATTGCCCTCGGCACAATTAAAAGGGTGGATTATATTCGCAAGCTCTCTCTCCCAGCTCCTATAGCTCCTTGGCTCCTATAGCTCCTTAGCTCCTTTAGCTCCCTGATTGTCCCTATAGGGACTGGTTCAGGTTCAGTACAATTATCTTGAGGCTTTGATTGCCAAGTAGGTAGCTAGCTAATATTGTTCACTTTTTTGTGACCATTAAAAGGGTTGCTCCTTACAAAAAATTAATGTTGCACAATCCGATGATGTTTATCTGTCCGAGTTGAATGGACTTTGCATAAATAAATGAGGCAAGTCGGTGGTTCTCGGTGTGGCAAGTAAAGGAATCTTGCACCAAAAAAAGGGGCCAGAATTTGTATAACAAAAACGCTTTTTAATTACAAATTTATGGGAAGAAATATGATTTAAAAGGGCAGTGGAAAAGTATAATAAACAAAAGGTTGTCAGGTAACAGAAAGACAGACATTTCGTATACACATTCACAATAGTTAATGGATCCTAAAAAATTGAATACTTTTTACTCATTTTTAAATGCCAGTTGACTTTTTCTATCATAATTTTGCCCTAGTTTTCCTTAGCAATTTTCCTCACAAAAGGCTTATGACATTAACCAATGCAAAATCGTATAAGAACAAAAAACAAAGGAGAAAGTGAGAATAGATGAATGAAGGTACCAAGAGACCACCCCTAAAAACACCTGACAACAAAAAGAAAACACAAAAATAAAAAGAAAATAAAAGAAAATGAAATGAAATGTCATGACAGTCGCACTTGAATCTTATATTCTGGGAAATACCCGCGAAAACGGTGAAACGAGATTTGGAGAAGAGCATTGAGAACATATAGGGAAAAGGACAGAGAAGTGGTGGAGCAGAAGAGAGAGAGCACAGTGAGATGGCAAAAGGGCAGGGGGAGGCAGGCAGGTGACAGATGACGTAGCCGCCTTAAAAAGAAACACGCATACGACGTGTGGCACACGACCAAAACGAAGGTGACGACGTCGTCGTCCCTCGTTGTAGTCTTTGCCTTCGTTTCTCCGCATTTTCTTCTTGGAATTGAGAATAAGTATGGAAACGAGGCAAAGGCAAAGTTCGTCGAGGAATATTTGGGACAAGAGTCGGAAAATTGCATTCTCAGAGGAGGAGGACGACGACTTCCGTGAGGGGGCCAGAGAGCAGCAGTATCATCGCTTGCATGTGCCATGGCATTACGACTTTGCTAGCGACTTGGCCTTCCCGCTGTTTACAGCTGCTCACTCACTCACTCACTCACTCCTCCCTCCCCCTTTAGCTGCTGCCACCCGCTCAAAGCGACAAACAAAAAGCTCTGCGAGGAGCGAGGAAATGCGAGGCAGCGAGTACTAGGAAATGTGTTGCGGTTGTCTGCGGAGTGAAAGCTTCAAGGCGCCTGCGTGGGAGATGTTGAGCGAAGAACTCATGGGAGAGAGAGAGAGAAAGCCAGAGCCTGGCGGTATTAACACTGGAAGAAATAGTTAAGCACTTACTAAAGGGTTGCAGAAATAAAGTCAAAGAACGCCAGGATAAGACTTTAAATTTGAAATAAGATTTGTTGAGAATGTTAAATATGGTATCCTAGTTTAAGCATTATTTGTTAAAATCAAGAAATCACTATCAAGAAAAGAAAACCAATTTAAAAAAGCCAAAGTTTATATACCTTTTCAGTTTGGACTTGATTTATAGGATAGTATCGAAATTGATCATAACTAAATTTACAATATATCTATTTACAATATCTATATTTTTATATGACCATTTTTCCGACAAATCAAAGTTTATAAAACTCATAACTAGACCAAAAAAGCATTAATTCTAAATTGGAAAGTTGTCCTACGTTATTTTTTAGTAGGACATGGCTAAATCGATTCGGTGTTAATTCTGATCAAGAATATATATGATTTATAGAGTCGGAAATGACACTTTCACATATTTACAAGCTAAGGACTAAAACTATGATGTCCTGCAAGGGTATAAATATTCATTGGAGTAATAACTGTATAATTTTTTTGTATAATTATAAAGATCATTCAATAAAATCCCAAAAAAAAAAGACAAGAAATTCCTTACTTTTATCTAAGAATATAAGACATTAATTTTCACTGATCTTCCTGGTTTTCCCAAGTGTACTAGAAGAGAGCACCGCGTGCCTGCAATCCAGAAGCTCGAGCAGGAAGTGCCGCTGCGATGCACTCGCAAAGGCAGCAAAGGAAGCGGCTAAGGGCAGGGAAATCCGGGGGAAACTGAGGCAGCCCCCAAAGGAGGAGGAGGAAAAACTTAAAAATGGGCGAAATGGGGCGTGCCACAAACCATATAGTAAAATGATTATAATTTCTTGACACGACGATAATATATTTTCCCTCTAACATGCACTTTTCAACAGTTTCCCTCACACGAACAAGGAAAAACTCTACTAATTTGTTCGACGAAACGTCACCGAATTCGACAAAATGCGGTGGGGAAAATGAGGAAAATATACGAAATGAAAAACGAAAAACGAACCCGAGTAAAATTGCCGAGCGCCTATATCCGTGTGTGTGTGGCTGTGTGTGTTTGTGTGGGGGCAAAACGTGTGAGACTGTGTATGTATAATACACCAAAAATGCCACAAAATAGCAGAAAAAAGAAAGATTGTCTTCTTCAAAACCAAATGAAAATTCCTCGCGACTCGAAAACATTTTTCGCAACACACTCACACACACTAATTTCTCTGCACTTTTTTGTATATATATTTTTAAACACACTCTGCTGCCCGGCGAAAGGGGCTTCCTTTTTATAAATGAGGAGCTTTACTTATATCCCATTTACTTCTCGGTGTCTGCGATCTCAGCGTTAGCACTATTCCGAAACCGATTTCCATTTCGATTTGGATTTGAAATTTATTGTTGCTTCTTTTAGTTTTTGTATAGTTTTTCTTTTTTTTTTTGGTTTATTTATTGCTACGCGCGTGCCATTTTCAAGACGATTTGTTTTTTGAGTTTTTCCTTCGTTTTTGGATGTTGTATGTTGAGCAAAGCCCCCTGTCCGAAATATAAAAGCCCCTCTCTGGATTTTCTCTCTCTCTCCATTTCCCTTAGAGGTCTCTCACTCACACTCTCTTGCTCTCTCACTTTTTGTTATTTTTGTATAATTTGTATTTTTTTTTTTCTTGTAGCTGAGAAAAAAAAACGAATTTTCTCGGGCACTAATTTTCCTTGCCTCCGCTCGTTTGCTTCATTGTGAAAAATGTATTTTTAAGCTGCTGCTGCTCCGATTTTTCTCCTTGATGTTGCTGCTGCTGTTAGTGTTGCTGCTGTTGGTGTTGCTGCTGTTGGTGTTGCTGCTGTGGATATTGCTGCTGCTGCTGCTGCTGCTGGTACGGATGACAATGACAACTTTGGCAACGGCTGCGACAGAAGCGACGACCGCTGGCGGACATTATGGGAACACGGCCGAATGGATACTGGGCCAACTCGCTGGCGCTGGCGAAAAATACTGTCCCAACCAGCCTGGCACACTCACTCTCTCTCTCTCTGTCTCTATGAAGTTCTCTCATTTGAAAATCTCCTCCGACAAAAGGGTGGCAAAAGCAGCCTCAGTGGCTCGCTCTCATTCATTCTCTATTGCGGAAAGAGAGAGCGCTGCGAGTGCGTAAAAGCTTTGCGGAAAACAGGTTAAAGCGTATGCTTGTCCTGCTCCCCTCACTTCCGCTCTTTCTCCTGCTCTCTCTCTCACCTCTCTCCCCGTTTAATGTGCCACTGTAGTTCACCCGATGTCCCATGGCCCAGAGCTAAAATGCTTATTGGGGTGGCATTTGCTCTCAACTCTTCAGTCGTCGAAGCACTTGCAAAAAATTTCATTTAAAAACTAATTAATTAAAAATTTTAAATTTCAAAAAGAAATATAAATCAATAACCCATTTCTACCTTTCCTTTAAAGTTTGTACAATAATTATACATTACTTTGTGCAACTAGTCGTATACGTAATATGGAAACCCCTTTACACTCTTACATCCCCTTACTCTTTCTGTTCTGAATTCTATAAAATATGTTGCCTATAAAGGAGTCCCCACAAAGTCTATATTTCTCTCCTAAAATAAGTTTATTAAGTTAGCAGCATTTTTCTCAGTGTTCTCATCTACTCCTTCTTGTTGCTGCTGCTCCTGAACGCCGCTGTCCCTGTTTGTTTGTGTTGTTGCCATTGTCCTTCCTAGTGCGTATTAGTATGCGTATGTTGCTCCGACTGCAGTTGTTGTAGTCCTTCTTCTGGTTACTGGGCATCTCCTCGTCGTCCTTTTATGTTTTTCTGTATGTTTTTGCCTATATATCCCTCTATATAAATGCCTATATCGCTGCTTGCTTGGTTCTTTGGCTTCACTTCCTAGCAGGCCGCCAAAGGACCTTGGACCATGTGGCTATTAGTGCGTGTGAGGGCAACGGAGAGAGTGGAAAAGAGAGAGCAAGAACCAAACAGGAATGTTTATGACAAAAACAACAAAAAATAATAAACTTCATAAAAGTCGATGATGCTTTCTATACCTGAAAATCGAATTCAGTTTTAATTGAATGTAAATACCAGAAGGGGGTTTCCATCAAAGCAATCTAAATCTGGGATTGAAACTATTTTAATCAAATTGTTTATGTGAAAGCCAGCCAGCAAAACGAATGGAAATAGTTTTGATAGGGTAAAAAAATGAAAAGGGTACTTTGGACAATGAAGTTTCATACGAAAAAGTTGGGAAATTAATTCAGAAATATACATATATGATTATTATTATAGAAATAATAACATTCAATATATATTTTTTTTATGTTCGGATCCCCAAAGTTATATTCCTTCATGTTTAATATAAAACTTCAAGCCATAAATCATCGTTTATACCCTGGCCAAGCATAGAATTTTTTTCCAATTCAATTATCCTTGCAAATCACTGCTAAATTGACCAAAAAAGTGTCCATCAGTTGAAGCTGCCGCCATCTCTTTTTATCGCTATCCTCTTTCTCGATTCCTATCTCTTTCCCCCTTGCATATCTGTCAATTTGGGGCCTGAAATTGCATTTGATTCCTAACGGAATATGCCAGTTATTTTATTTTCCTCTCTTTTTCTCCTAAGTGGGCAATAAAAAAGCTTTTAGAATTGTGTTGCTTATGGGAAAAGTATGCAAAAAGCGAGGAAGGAGGGTGGTGGGAAAGAGAGCAGCAAATGCTGGAATAAGGATAAAAGACAGGGCATTGTTGCTGCCAATAATGTTAAGCCAGAAGTGCATTCACAATTGTTCCCTCTTAATTTAGTTTTTTTTTTACCTTTGCACAGGATAATCGGAGGAAGAATTCTTTTTGGGCTTACAAATGAATAAAAAATATATAAATAATAATTACAGTATACAGTTGAGGTAATATGTATTGAACTACGGAACTTTATTTTCTAATCTGATTTGAAAATTTCGAATTTTGTGATGATAAAACCCTTTAATTTATTGGTTTATTAATTTATCAAAGAAATTTGAAATAAAACCTATAATTTGCAGATTTTAATTAATGGAAAAACAAACTTTAAACACTTCTTTTTCATCTAATATAATAATAATAATTTTTATTTATCTTTAATATAGAATGTCTTCCTAGTCACCATCTCAACTTCTTTAAATCTGCATTGTTGCGTTCAATACCCCAAACTGTGAGATAAAGTCAGGTGAAGCGTGTCCTAGATTCCACTACAAACACCAGCAAACAACAAAACAAACCCCTGCAAACACAACACAAACGCACACACACACACAGGAGTAGAGATGGTAGCATAGAAATTCCACCCTCGAAGTATGCAACATAATTGTAGTGCAAACAACGCAATAACGCAACTTTTCGCCTAGCGGGACCTTGAATTCAATCAAAGTTGCTCTAACAATCCGGCAGATACTTTAGCTCTGTCCCACTCTCCTGGCGCTCTGTCTCGCTCTGGCAAATTGCGAAATAATTTGCATCGATTAGCCAAATGGTTCCCGAGCATCCCCCTTCCCTGGCATGTCCTTCTCATTTTCTCTCACTGCTCTCGGGAGACTTTTTTTTGCCTAAGCAAGGATGAGGAAGAAAAACCATCTGGGGGATGTCAAATGCGTTTCCCCCAAATGCGTCGTAATAAATTACACGAATCGACAAAATAGATGTTTCATTCAGATATATAAATATGTAATAAAAATATGTAAACATAAATATCTAATAAAGTTATCTATTGAAATGGTATTAAAAAGTATTCTATAAATGGAAAAATCTCTTAAAAAGTTGTTTTAAACTATGCTACAGAATGTTACATTATAGGAAAAACAAATATTTTGAAATTGATTTTTAAAATTCTGTTTAAACTTTTCCTGGGAAGAAACTCTTCCTATAATTAATGACTTTGGCCATGCTAACTAGTGTAATTTTTAAGAAATACTGGAATGATGATAATGGAACAGGACATGATGGTACACAAAGAGAGAGAGGGAGAGCCACACGAGACTGTTGCTCCTCTCTCTCTCTGATTCTCTTGCTCCTTCGGTTAATGTAATTGCACATTCGTGAATGTCGCGCCTTTCGCCTGCAATTACGACATCTTATTTGGGTCAACTCGGAGAGATAGCTCTCCGGAGAAAGACACGAAAGAGAGGGAAAATACGTATAGAAAGAGAGGGCTATACAATCGGAGAGAGAGAGAGAGGCAGAGACCGAGCTTAAGCTCGCCGCACGTGTGAGCTTAAAAGCGCAACGCATTTCGAGGCCAAGTGCCGAGCGAGGATGCGAGGACTCGAGGATACTGCCAGCATCCGTCTGTCACTTCCGCAGGCAACTGCAGTAGTATCCAGGAGGAGGGTTGACTTTAAGGGGGGTGGCTGGTTGCACACACAGTGTCCAGTGGGTGTGGCCGGTGTTGGCCCAGTTAAGTTCGCCCTAAAGGCATGCAAAGGTATGCATTCACCGAAACGGTACCGATTCCTTCCTGAACCCTCGTGGTAATAACAAGAATTTAATTTAAAATCTAATAGAATACAGGTTTCCTTGAAAAGCAAAGCTTATAATGGTTATAGGGTTCATTAAAATAATTAAAATTAAGTTCCACGAGCTGTACTAACTCTCAAAAGAATATTTTATATGTTCTTTCAAATGAATAATAGCTGAACATAAATTTAAAAAGCCTTGACTAAGGATTATTTAATATAAATAACTTTTAGTAAGTTCCTTGATTAATTTAGTAATATGTTCTAATGGCTTTTAGATAACTTTTCAGTTTCCTTAAAGACTTTACCTAAACAGAAGCGAAGCAAAGACATGGAGGAAACTAGAAGGTGTTGGCCATTAAATCCTTTTGTGATGATCCTGCTGGGGGTTATTAAGCAAGCAAATCTAATCTAATTAGCCGGCAAATGCCAAAGCAGAGTCAACTCTTGCTGAGAGTCCTGGCATCCCTTCCTGGACCACCTGAGCGAGCAAGCCAACTCACTGTAGCCACCTCTTTAACACCTCCTCCTCGGCAGTGTCGTCGGCCCCCGCTTTGCTTTTATGGCGCAATTAAAATGCTAAATGCTTTACGACATCGCCCAGGGGGGGTCCTTTAATTAATTTGCCTGTGACAATGACTGGGCCATGCCACGTCTCGTGTCTTGACGACCATGAAAGGTGTTAACAACAAACGTTTGGCTGAGAAAGGAGGCAAGGACATCAGCACCACCAACCACCTCCTTTCACTTACACTAGCTTGACCCAGACAAGCAACAGCAAAACAGAAAAAAAATAAAAGAAATGGGCAGAAGGACACGCAGGCAGACAACCCAGAGAAGACTTTATTTAAGCGCTCCTAACAACCTCATCCTTGCCTCTCCTCCACCTCCTTTGCAGCTAAATCCTAAGCCCCGACACTTCTCTCGTCTGATTATGCCAGCTTTGATGGATACAGTCACCCTCAACTGGCTGTCTCGGATTGTTTCTGCATCAGGTATCAGGTGGGTCCTTGTTTTGCATACCCTATTTATGTGATTCTTGGCTTTTGTTTGGATTCAAAAAAGCAGAACATTATTTAAATGACAAATTAAATTCTATTCTTTAAGTGCAGTCAAAGGATTTAAAGTTCAAGAAGGCCAGCATTACGTTTTTACTTATCAGGACAAGATAAGTTATTTATATTGCATATTAAAAAGGTATCCTTAAGTCAAAGGACCACAAAGTCATTTAAACGATTTAAGTTTTTCCAGCCTTTTTATACTCTTTAAGGGTATTCTATTTCTTAAATATTAAATTGAGTATGCAGATTTATTAAACTTCTAAAAACTAACATAGGACAGCTTTCCGATTTAGAATTAAGGCGTTTTGGCCTATTTATGCGATTTTGAAATATTAATTTATCGAAAAAAATTGTCATATAAAAATATAGATAAATATTGATTTGATCCTATAATTAAAACTGCAAGGGTATATCAGCTTCGGCTTCCCAAAGTAAGTTTCCTTTCCCGTTTTCCAGCTGACACATGACAAAAAGTTTTAAGGTCCAGGCTAAGTAACATTAAGAGTCCTGTGGTGCAAAGGCTAGACTACCAAATGTCCTCTAAACGGGAGTAATACATCAGCGAAAAAGGAAAAATTTAATAGGAATAGGAAAACAGGAGCTAAATTTGCCTAGACAACATCTCCAGCACCTTCGCCTTCGCCATCCTCAATCATTCATTTAGCATATGAAAAATTCTTGTTGCATATACAAAAGGGGCACCTGGGAACCGACATTTGGGGCCATTTGATTGTTCGGCCGCTGTCTGCAGGTATAACAGCCATATTCCGGGTTCATTCCACGTAGCCATATAGCCACCTGCGGGAATTATGAAATATGCAAAAACCATCTGCACGGGCCTAGAGGCGCCCCCAGTCAGCCAACCTGTCTTCCTGCCTGCCCGCCCGCCCAACCACCTCCTCAGTTTTCCTCTTTTGCGGGAATAGAATTCGCTTGGCATCGCAACTTTGTCTGCAGAGAATCTAAAGAGGAAAACGTACAGGATGGATCAAGGGGATTGGATGAGGGACGGGGCGCCACGGCTTGAGGCCTCCGAATCAAAATCAAAATCAAAAACGCAAACAAAACTGGCGTAACCGATGCGATGTCATGTGTCTGCTCTTATCATAGACGATTATTCATGAGATGCAGCGAAACGAACTACAGATGGGCCTCGATAAACCAAAGTGGCAATTAAATAAGTGTAACAGCTACATTTCAGTATATACTATACACTAAATATTACTATACTTAAAATAAAATAAACTCTATGTTAACCACAAAATCCAAACGTTTCTAAGTTTAGTACATTTCTTATAGTTCTGGGTACATATTAAGACAGTTTAAGCTTGGAATGAAACTTCTGTATAATCCGATCCATTGCTAATTTATTTATTTATAAACGTACCTTCATTTAAAAATTCAATTCCCTTTACATTTAAGTTATATTTCAGTTATTTCAACCCTTTTTTCTGTAGATTAAGTGTGTCTAATTTTATGTTCCATATGTAAAACTAAAATGTACACTGTTAATCTAAGGGGGGAAAATACGATTTAATACTATTGCTTTTTAAACAATTCCCCCTTTTATAAAAAGAATTCGATTTACTCGAACTGAAATAGGATTTTGACAAAAACAATTCGGCCAACAGGAGTTGGCCTGTCCCAAAAAAAAGATGTACGGCTTCTGTCAGAATGTCTTTAAAAATTTTAACAAAATAACAAGAGATAGCAAATGGCATGAACAAAGGCAATAAATTAATTTACACAAATTCCCAAAATTCTCAAATGAAAAATACTTTTTTTGCAGTAAGATTTGCATTCAACCTTTTTTTTTTGTATTTGTGTAATGACAACGAATCGGACGGGCGAAGCGAATCGGAGCGCAGCAACAAAAGTCTAAATACTTGTTTTCTTTTCTTTTTGCATTCTTTTTTTCAACATCTAAAACATTGTGTGACAACGACGACATTTCGATTATAGCATCACCCAAGATACATCGTCATCATCACCGGGGAGAACATCATCGTCTCTAAGGCCTCATCGAATGCGAATACGAATATTCAAATATTCGAATAAAACAATAAACAGAGTAAAAGGCAGGGAGAAAAACACAAAACAGCGACGTTTTAGTGGCAGTTGCAATTGCATTCGGTGTTAATAAATGCACAGTAAACACCTGAATAAAGGAATCAATAATAGGTACAGCCATGCGGGAATGTATAAACTAAAATTGTGGGGTTTCCCAATATTCAATATTTTTATTTGAAAAGTTTAAAAAACTCATATCTCAGCCAAAAAAACATTTATTTTAATTGCCAAAGCTGTTCTTAGTTAGATTTTAGTAGATTAATAAATCGAAATACCCAATTTAGCTTTTAAAATTTTACTCCTTCACACCGTTAGAAACTTCTGACTAAAATGATAAAACCTTGAAGGGTATAAAAAGAATATTAGAAGGTCCATAACTAGCCCTGATCTACGATAATTCTACCCTTGTCCACTGTCCCCTAAATATATATTCGCAAAAAGTAAAGTCATTCCCGGGTTAACTTTTTGTTTTTTTTTTCGGAGAGACAACAAACAAACCTGACGACATGATCGCGACGCCACCCGGTGTAAGAGAGAATTGGAGACAAACGAGAGAAATGCGGCGTAGCACAGAGGGAAGGTAGAGAGCCAAGGTAGGAGTAAATGATAGCCAGCCTGGTCGCCTGATTCGCAAAATAGATTTTCAATAAAAACCCACTCGAAAACGCCGACAATGGCGGCGGACGCAGGCCAAAGAGCCATTTCGAATCTATTTTAAACACAAACAAAAGCATTCTCTATAAATCGAGCAAATGCAAAGAGGAAGAAACTTACAGAACTTACTGACAACAAGAATGTGATGATATTGTACCCCAGAAGTTGTGGGTTCCTGACAAAATGAAGTTAATTAATAATGTTTTGCCCGAAAAGATAAGATTTTCAATTTGGTTTCGTTTTTCCAGAAGTTGTGAGTTCTAAGAATCGCGAATATAAATTATTGTTAATAGATTACCTATGATTTCTATACTCCCATAATCCTTTTTAAAATTCAATAAAAAATAGACAAGGAACAAGTTTTAACTCATTCCGAATAAGATTTCAAGTCCACAAAGTAGACTTACATATTTTATATCTCAAATAGTCTGCGTTTTAAAGTTTAGGTTAACTGTTGGACAACAAAATTCTTAGAAAATGGCATTTTCCAGGAATTGAATAATACCTTACGTACTGGAAGCCGGGCACGAGAAGTTTTAATTTAAAGCTTTGTAAGACCTTCCGTATGGATAAACCATTATTAATACCACAGTTGTTGAAATTAATATTATAGAAATAAACTATAGTTTTGCAGTTCATCCACAAACAAAGATGGAATTCTGCTCCAATTAGACAAGGCATACAACCCTGTGTAACTCCGTAACTGCAGCCGGCGCTCCACAAGCCAAAACGCTCGCGAACGAAATCACTTGTTACAATTTCCACTGACTGCTCTGGCCAAAACACGCTGCAAACACTGATTTGCAGATTCTACCTCTACATTTTCCTGCGAATTTAGCTTACAAACTCACCATTTTCAGTTCTGCTGGCCATGGCGATTGTTGTTGCTGTTTTTCTTGGATATTCTTTTTTTTCCTCCTCTGTTGACTTCCTTCTCCACTGGCTCGGCTTCTCTTGGCCGCTGTTCCGGATTTTGCGGCTGGGAACGGCGGACGATCTGCGGGGGGCGGCGCTGCAGTTGTGGGTGCTTTTCGCGATGCTTTTCACATTTGTTTAAACCGCCGATACGAGATAATAATAATAATAATACAGAAAATGAGGTTTTCAACAGTAAGACCCGTACGACAAATCCCTCACCACCGCCGATAACGTTTGGTTAAAATGCAATCGAATGTGGCTGGTCACACTGTCGCAGCTGGCACTCTAAAACTCAGTCTGGCAGCTCAAGTTCTTTGGGTATTATTATTAATATTTGTCCTTATCTTTAACGTTTTTATCAAAGGCTTTCAGTTAAAACTTGTCTTCAAAGCTGTGCAAATTTACATTGAAATTTATTTAAAAAGTACTATTGAAAGGCAACTTGGATTATATATGCAGTCTGGCAACGCCGCAATGCTCATGTTATTAACAGAGCTGTGACATATTACAACACTGAAATGTTAAGCCAGCTAGAGCGGCAAAATTCCTCATTTGAAATATAAGTTAGAAACAGAAAAACAAAAAGTAATATAATAAATTTATGCTTCTTAGCATAAATTAACACAAGAGGTCAACAAAAAAGCAATCTTATTAAACTTTCCTGATCTGGAACTTTCCTGTTTTCTTGCATATTTATTACACATTTAAATACAATTCGCTTTGATATTTCGAGCAGGTATTTTTAAAATAAGGCAAAAATCTGATCGCAAAAAATAATTTTCAGTGCCGAGTGCATTTTAAACAACTTCGATTAATTCTGTTTGGTGCGAGTTATTTAAGTTCAACTTGGTGGTACGGCAGTTAGGTAACTTAATTCTTGGAATACGTGTCACAATATCTTTTACGATTTTTCACAATAATTTATTTGGATTTTCTCGAATCAACTCAATTCGATTTCGACACACTTTCAGCTTAACGTTATTAGTTCATGATCATGAGTTGCGTATACGCGCTTTGTTCGGCGTATGGATTCCGTTGTGGTTATGGCCTTTTAATTTATTTACACTAATTCCAGGCGCTTCATCTCCTTGAACAGCTCGTGGCCCATTTTGGCTGGACTCCTGGTCACAATAACGCCGGCCTTCTCCAAAGCGGCGATCTTGTCGTTGGCACCTCCCTTTCCGCCCGAGATGATGGCTCCGGCGTGACCCATGCGACGGCCGGGTGGCGCCGAAACTCCGGCAATAAACGAGACCACAGGCTTGGCCTTGATGCCCTATAATTAACAAGGAAATATGTGGTTTTAATATAAACATCTATTAGGAAGATAGAACCCATTGACTTACCGAATTGTATTCGGTGAGGTAATCGGCAGCCTTCTCCTCGGCCACACCTCCAATCTCACCGATCAGGATGATGCCCTTGGTCTCAGGATCCTTGAGGAAGACCTCCAGGCAGTCGATGAAGTCGGTGCCGTTGAACGGATCACCGCCAATGCCCACGCAGAGGGTCTGGCCCAGACCCACCTCGGTGGTCTGGTGCACGGCCTCGTAGGTCAGGGTTCCCGAGCGCGAGACCACACCGATCTTGCCGCGCTTGTGAATGTGACCCGGCATGATGCCGATCTTGCACTGCAATGCGGGAAATAGAAGAGCATACAAAAATTATTTTTAAAATGTAAATAAACAGGAGACACTGTTATAATCATTTTCGAATCGGGGGTTAAATAAATAATAAATAAATAATATTAAACCGATATTATTATATATTCTTTTAACTGACTGTGTGTGCGTCACACCAAGAGATAAGCGGCATAAATAGAGTCAATGGAAATTGAACTTTGAATCGCTTCAGCCCAGCGCTTATCTCTTGGACTTGACGAGGTGAAGATGTGCGAGTACGAACCTGTTCGGGGGCAATAATTCCCGGGCAGTTGGGTCCCACCAATCGCGACTTGTTTTGGCTAATCAGGGCGTGCTTCACCTTCACCATGTCGTGCTGCGGCACTCCCTCGGTGATGCACACGATCAGCGGGATCTCCGCCTCCAGGGCCTCAATGATGGCAGCGGCAGCACCGGGCGGTGGTACATAGATGACGGTGGCATGTGGATCCGTCGCTTTCTTAGCCTCCGCAACCGAAGCAAAGACGGGCAGGCCAAGATGCTGGGTTCCACCCTTCTTCGGGGAAATGCCGCCGACCAGCTTAGTGCCGTACTCCAGCGCCTGCTGGCTGTGGAACGTTCCCTGCTTGCCGGTGAATCCCTGGCAGATGACCCGCGAGTCACCGGTCAGCTTCAGGTTACCGCGCGTCTTGTTGTACTGCGAATTGCATCGCACGCCGGCAACAAAGCCATCTGAAAAATATTAGAATATTAGATAATGCTAAAGAATGAACTTCAAATGTTTTATTTTTTTACTAATACATAAGAAACAGCTCAAAAACTGCGAGGCTAGTTACATTTACTGCAGTTAATGCAAGTTTTCTGGTACTAATTATAAATGGTTCATAAGGCCTTCAATTTTTAAAACATATTTCATTTGAGGGGCAAATAATCAACAGTATGGGGATACTTAGCGTTTCATTCATCTTTTGTAAGTTTTCTTACATTTAATTAAAAATTAAAACAAATATAATTCTTTTATAAGGCTTCTTCATATTGGGAGTCACGAGCGGTTGCCGGGTTTTCGCCCCAAATTTGATTGATCCTCATTGCGGGGTTGCAAAGGATTGTTATTACAACGGACAAAATATATTTAAGACCAACAATGAGTCATGCAGAAGGGAAAAACTAAATAAGGATGGTAAGTGGTCATGATAGGCATTAAATTAATTAATATTTATAAATAATTTTCTGTACTGTAAAGGTTTTTCAACAGTAATAAGGGGAAAATGCCCTCTTGATAAGCCACCATGCTAAAGAATGAACTCAAATGGTTTATTTAGTATTAATAAATATATAAGAAAAATATAAATTTAATCCTCAGGGTACTTCTTAAATTGTTTTAATTGGGAAACTATAAAGGAATTGAATGATTACTACTTTCATAAATTGGAATATGACTGAAATGTAGTTGAAACGCTTTATAAAATATTGTTATCAGACATACTATTGTTATATCATCTGTATATATACATATATATAAATTGTTATGCATATATAGCTGAAAACTAGATTGGTTCCAAGCTATAATTGCATTTTCACACTAAAGTAGACATTTAAAGGTAATTAGTCTGCTGATCTATAAAAGCCCTGTTTCTTTTAATCTCACGACCCTACCATCATGAAGATTTTTATTCTCTTCCTAACTTTGGGTGAGTTTCTAATCGTTTTATAATCGTTAGAAGCGTTGTGTAAAATTGATAATTTATCATATAGGCCTTTGCAAGGGAATGAATATTAGAAGTAACCCAAATGTTCTTCAAACTTGGTGTGGAATTCTACCGGATTGCTATGAGGAAGCTCGAAGTCTGAATATATTAGAAATTCAGGCTGTGAAACGCGATGAATTGGGACTGCCAGGTATTTTAATGGGATTATAATTATAAAACATAGTTTATTAATATTATTTCACAGATTTTTTGGATATAATTAGAGGAGACTGTCCAACTGACAAGCCTAGATGCAAAATTATTGTATAAATCAATTCGAATGTATGTATGTATGTCGGCAAGACTTGAATATAAACTAAATAAATACCATGTAATAAAAAAAACCTTCTTGAGGTGAAGTAGTCTTTAAAAATTGCAAAAATATTTTCACAAAAAAGGAATAAATTGATTTTACTAAAACAAATATTCAATTAATAAACGGCTGTTAAGATTCGCTTTGCCAAACCGATTTCACAGGTAATGGTTTAAGAACGGTTTCGTTCACCTTTCAAACAATTTTCAGACTTTGCGATAATCGCATCTTAAGACTCCCAGCATCATTATGAGAGTTTTCTACATTATTCTTATCCTCAGTAAGTTTTGTGAACATTTTTTAACTAGAGACTGTCCTTGTTTTTGTATTTTTAGCTATCACAATATCAGATATAAAAGGCAAAATGTGTGAATGGACACCGCCGCGATATCAAGATCCCGTATGTGCAATTGATAAAGAATGTAACTACAATGCCGCTAACAAAGCCCAATTGGATATGGAGTTATGTAGACGTCGATTCTCACCAGGTGTGTCACGTAAGTATAGGTGAAGTTGTAATGCGGCAAGTTTGAATTTATCCAATCTTTTCAGAATTTAAATATATAAGAAAGGGCATATGCCCCATATTGAGACAACCATGTAGGCCAACCAATATAGGAAATGCATTGCCCGAACAAACAGAATGAAGAAAACCCTAAACAAAACTGAACATAAGTAAACAATTTAATAAAGCTTCTAAGCGTCCGACTAAATGCAGTGAGAGTTACAAAAATGTATAAACATACAAATATATTGAATATGCACATTGCCTTTACATGTCAAAAATAAATCGAATTTTTTAAATTTGAAATATTCATATTTCGCAAGTAATAATTTTGTTTACCACGAAAAGATTCTGATTATCGACGTTCCACTGTATTCTAATAGCCGAAAAAGCCGTTGTTTGTACGATGGGTCACATGCGAACCTTGAACGCACCTCCCTCCGCTCCTCGCCTCCCCCACCACCCTCGCCTGCACTGCACAGCTAATTCCAGCAACTCTTCCTCTTCACCGAAGCCACGTATCTGGTGGGGTCTTGCAAATTAATCCGGATCGTTAATGCCAATTGAAGCTGTCTAATCAGACGAACTAGCGGACCCACAGGTGCCCTCTATTTGTTTGTACTTTTCTCACTTTTGTGCCGTAAATCCATCGAAGTTATATAATTTATTATGCTTCACCCGCCTTGGCGGCACTTATTAGGCAATAGGTTTTTAGATACGCACCTCGCACCTTTAGCAGAGCCCTCATAGAAGCAGCCATCTTATGTGTGTTGGAGGGTTGTGCGGTTGGAGCAGCTTTCGTTAATTAAACGCGTTTAATTTAATTTTGCCGTGCGATTTGCAAGTAGGGGTGCACAAAACATCGATGAAAACATTGATGCATCGATGTTTTTCGAATTTTCAAAATCATCGATGTTTTTATCGACAATCGATGATTCTATGCCATCACTATCAATGGAGTTTTGTTTTGTATACATTTTACATCCCCGTGATTCGACATTTTAAACGTATACAAGATACGTACAATTTCCATGTAGGAAGTAAAATTAATTAGATTTTCAAAATTGGCTGGCATTCCATTCGAATACAACTTATCAGAATTTCGCTTAATCTGAACCTTTATTTTGAGAAATTAAAGAAAGGACAGGACAAGAGTGCGTATAGACTACTTTAAAATATATATTGCCTCTCATTAGGCCGCTAACGCCTAAATGCACGGATAGCTTACAGATTATCAACTAGCACAAATTACACGAAAAGCGCCTACGAATCTCCTCCATTCGCTACTTCTTTCGAGCGACGTTTTAAAAACTTTTGCAAAGGCCAAAATGTTATACAAAATATACGTTTGTATTAGAGTTAATATTAATTTTTGAACGGAGGGCTGAGTGGTGGGGTAGCATAGTCTTTCAGGTTTCTTTCGCTCTAAATGTCTAATTGAACTGGTTTTCCTCGATCGGTGGGAGTTCCTCTAGTCCCGGATGATCATGAACATCGGGTTCTTGCTCGTTTTCGCGATTAAATGCATTCTCTTCACCCTTCTTCAGGCGCTGGTAGACCAAAATGGACCGACCCGTACGCAACTGGCGGTGCTGGAACATAGACACGAGATTAGGTGACTGGACGCCCACAGCCTGCGACCCCTTGTTGGCCAGAGCCTGCAAGCCCTCCAGCCAGGTTACCTCTGCGTGTTCGATGCGATGGAGCAATCGGTAATTGCGCAGAAAAACGCTGATATTCTCGGCCAGCGGATCGAACAGCACCACGTGCGATGGCTGTGCGGTTAGCGGATGTACGGGTATATTGGAGTTAATCCAATGCACGGGGTTCTCATAGAAGCGGTCCGCCTCGTCCTTGTACTGCTCCTTCTTGTCAAGATTGGGTTCACAGGTCAAAAAGCGCATGGTTACGTTCTCATGGATGTGGCTGCAAAGGGAAAGTAAACATGATATCAAATATATGCTCTAATATTATTATTTGTATCAAAAACTCACCTGTAATACGGAGTCGAGTGGCAAGGCATCAAGAAAAGGATATTCGCTCGGTGGTCCCGCTCATCCCGGTAATCCTGGGCGATGACCCGCAGCTTCGGCATCAGATCTATGGGTCCCTTCTGGTGGACGGTGCTTAGATACCACGCCGGCATTATATTGGCCACCAAGATCACCAAAGCAGCGGCCCACAGTAGAATGCTAGATGCGCGATAGCTCCATTTGGACAGGACATCGGCAGACACATAAAGACACAGAGGCAGAAGCGGGGACACAAATCTGAATTCCTTGTGGTCCACAGCGCTCAGTACCAGCAGAGTCACGAAGATAGTGATCAGGAGCTGTTTGCTAACTGCGAATTTCTCAGACTTCTGCACAGTCTCCTTAACGCCAAAGAGGAAGGGCAATATGTTGACACCCAGGACAGTGGGCAGGCCCGCGGTGAAGTACCAGTACCATGGGTGGGATCCATAGAAGCTGCCGATGTTGTTGAATATGTTGTACTTGAGGAACTCGTACGGTGTGACAATCAACCGACCATGCCAGTAACTATCAATGGCAACTCCCAGGCCAGCAACGAGTAAACTGCAAATGAATCTATTGAATCCCCAAAAGAAATCTCTATTTACCAGTCAACAACTCACCCGATGAGGACAAAACGCTTCAGTATCAATTCGACCACATTTTGACGACTCTTTCGCAGATGATGCAGGCCCAATGGAAGCCAAATCACCGCCGCCGTGGGGCGCAGGAAGCAGCAGATGGCTGCTGGCCATAGGTAGCCAGTTCCCTCGCCATACCATGGGAAATAGCTCAGGGCAATCGTGGTCAGTGAGGCCTCCAAGGTATTGGCCAGAGTCCTTGATCCCGTGTAGAACCAGAACCAGGAAACCAGGACCAGAAACAGGGCCCACTTGCGCTTGCCAGTCCACACGAAGAATCGATAATCGGAGTAAGCAGATAAGGTGGCCTGTAGAATCCTTGGCAGCAGTACTAGAAGCTGAACACTGTCCATATGCACGAGAGCCAGCAGTTTGTAGAGTCCGGCGATCAGCAGCGGGTACACATAGCTACGAATGCCCTCGACCCACTCCCAGGTCAGGTAGCCATAACTATGGGATGGGAATATAGATATATATTAATAGATAATTGCACTGATAATGGTATTTTTTATGTTCCTAGGATTTTTACGACTTGCCATGTAGAACGGTGCAGTCCAAAGTACCCTGATATGGTTATTTTCAAAGATAGCTGAATGAAACTTTGCAAATTAAGCTTGTATTTTGGATTAGTAAAGCCTAATAGGTTTGATAAATATAGAAGCACTAGATACCACGCCCTAACTAGGACGCACTTCAACTGACAAGATTGTTTTGTTGCCTAAGATATCTGATGGATATATGTTTGTAAGTAACATTTAGCAGAAATCCATGAAATACACCCCGACCAAAATCGAACAAATTACGCAAATATGTTATTCAAAAGTAGACCATTAGAGTTTGTACCTACCCGAAAGTGATTTTGTGGGCCACCTCCAAGCTCTGCCAGTACTCATCCGGAACGTAGTATGTCTGGACCACGAAAACGGAGGCCAAGCGCACGGCCAGAATCAGTAAAAACACGTACAGCAGCCTCATCGCTGCGTGGGTCCCGAAAAGAAGCAGAAGCCAGCAGCAGTTCCAAAATTAGTCAGCCGGAAAAACCGGATGAGCGATGTCGCCGACGTCGTCGACTTTGGGCTACTTAAAAAAAAGGTGTCTTTTAAGCGCAATTCTCAATGATTTATTGGCCGTCTTATATACCGGTCCTAACCTTAAATAGCGTATAGACTGGTGCTTGCCGAAAAGGGCGGAATTGCTAGAGATTCCGGAATTTTTGTCACGAAAACGAAACACTTTTGGCGGCCTAAAAATAACGCGAACAGAGGACCAAAGCAAAAGTTGAAAATAGTGTGGCCGTAACTGGACAGAGTACATACACTAGAACTTATCGATTAATATCTGTCAGGGATGGAAAGCGAGAGAATTTGAAATATTAAATAATAAATTATCTTCTAAGGAACCATATACTTCAATGTCAAAAATGGTGTCAGACTAACATAAGTTTCGAAATAGATATGACATAAATTCTATGAAACGTAGGGAAGCGAGGAAGCAGTGCCTTGGCCCTCGAGGTTGGATGGATCGCATGGAGGAGCACGATGTTTAGAGTCCGATGGCATCGCCTGTTAAGTCCATTTCCGCGGAAAACCACCTCAGTGGTGGACCACATCTCCAAGAGACTTCAAAGCAATCAAAAACCGTCTGAAAACGAATCGTTCTGGTCGCATTTGTTCGGAAAGTACCTTTTTGTGACAAATACCGTGGGATCGGGATTGCTTCTCGGCATCGGAGACTTGATTGTCCAGTACTGTGATCGATTGACGGAGAAGAAATCGTTCGATTATATACGATCCAGGAACATGGTAGTAACTGGCTTGATAATGGGGCCAGTTCAGCATGGATTTTACTCGTTGCTGGATCGGGTATTTATTGGTAAAACAAGACTGGTAATTCTCCAAAAGTTACTTGCGGATCAGTTGATAATGTCGCCCTCCTACATTACTCTGTTCTTCACCATTACCAGTTTGCTGGAGGGGCTAAGTATTAAAGAATGTCATGCGATCCTGTCGAAAAACTTCCTCTATACCTGGGCTCTCGACTGCTGCATATTTGCGGCTTTGCAGTATCTGATTTTCCGCTACCTTACGGCCATGTATCGTGTGGTCTTTATAAATCTGGTCAATTGTTTATATATCGTAATGCTATCCTATATCAAACATAGTCCCTAAAATTCAGGCAAATGAAAAAGTTTTATTCAAAATAATAGTAAACCTGTCATGTTCCCCCTTGAATCATAACACAATAAACCAGAAAACTCAAAACTCAGTCAACCAAATACATGTTTAAAAATAACGGCAAAAAGTCATCGATAGCCATCGATTGCTGTTCTAATCGAACAGCTGTTAGTTTAACGTCAAAATGCTTACAAACGGAACTCTTGTAACGTAACTGAAACACAGACACAGGAGAAACACGGCACATTAAATCAAAATTTCAGCGGCTGGCGCGATGTTGATCATCCGCTGCCTGCGTCACTTCGACGGGCACCGCCTCGTCCCGTTGGTCAACCTGGTCAGAAACCCTAATGGCTCACCCCCCTGGATGGTTGCTCGGAGGAATTTCACGTCTCTATGCCGCGCCAGAGATGGTCACGTAATAGCGCCGCTCAGACGGGGAACGAGAATGAGCCACGGCAAGGGAGAGACGAAGGTTGGAGCGTTAAGCTTCATTCTCATGCGTTGGACGAAGTTGGCGTGGAGCAACATGTTTGGGAAGTACCTGCTGGTGACGAATGTGTTGGGATCCGGTCTGCTCATGGTAGTTGGCGATGTAATTGCCCAAGAGTACGAGTATCGGCGGGGCCTGAGGAAGCTGGATCGCTACGACACTGATCGAATGTACCGCATGTTTGTGGCAGGCGCCCTGCAGGGTCCGCTCCATCACTTCGTTTACAACTGGATGGACAGGATAATGCCAGCCCGCACAATGAAGAACATCGTGAAGAAGATCCTCATCGATCAGCTGTTTATGTCTCCTGCCTGTATCCTCATTTTCTTCTATTCCATCTGCTACCTGGAAGGCCAAACGCTGGAAGACTCCAACGAGGAGCTGATTAGCAAGTTCCCCTACGTCTATATGCTCGACTGGATGACATGGCCGGCGGCACAGTATATAAACTTTCGATATCTGGAGACCAAATATAGGGTGTCCTTCGTTAACATCTGCACTGCCGTCTACAATGTTCTCATGTCCTACATGAAGCACGACTTTGGACTCCACATGCCGCTGGAGAAGGAACTGGTGGAGTCTTCGAGTAGAAAGGGCACCGTTGTAGCTCGGACCAAAAACAAGGCCACCGACAATTTACCTGTACAATCTACACAAAACTAACCACGCGACAGGAGTGATATTGTGATATTGATAAAGAAAAAAACTTATTAACCGATAAATGTGCACATATTTAGGTATTAATAGTTGAACGAAAGAGGCTCTTAGTGTCAATATAAATTAGTATATGGTACAAAAGTGAACTTGATCGTTGTCTAAATAGTATAATCCCTAAGATACATGATCAATTTCGAGCATTTGTTATAGGAAAACTGCCTAAGAAGAAGCTGACATTTGTTAACCCTAATTTATTTATCTTAAATTTTTATATATTTGTTAGATATCATGAAAAGCAAAGAAAGGAATAGTTTTTTAGTTTTTAATTTTTTTTTGTATCGTTTGCGGATCTCTAACGATAGTAGTTCCCCGTTTAAGTTTCGCGTGACAAACTTTTTAAACATATTTATGGAAAAATTAACATATCAAATAATGACCTCTATATATGTATATATATTTACATGTTAGCTAAATTGATAAATAAGTAAATAAGCTCTCTAGTCTTTAATATTTAAGTAAACTATGTTGTCTGCACTCAACGCCTTCATAAATCACAAAGTAAAGAGGCTCTTGGTTTATATAAAACAGAATAAACAAGCAAAATACAACAAAGACTTATTCATTATCTTCCAAAGTTTATTTACAACGCTTTTCGTATCGGTGTTGATACACCCAATCAGTAAGTTAGCGTGAGCTCAGATTAATTGAACCTTATCTGATGTGGGGGACATATAACGCTAGATGCATTCCTCCAAATCTATACTATAAGAAACCTTAGTGTACAATCGACATAAAACTCCCATTACCATTACCATTAATACCACCAGAAAATCCCCTTCTTACTTGATTACAATCGTCTCGACGGGTTGGCTAATCCCAAAGATGTGCTGGGCCAGCATCAAGTGCTCCTGACTGATGAAATTTGCCAACAAAGTGATCACATTCTCGTTGCAGCGGGCAATCTGCTGGCGTGTAATGGATTTAAACTCATCCCTGGCACCTTTGTCCGCTCCGCGAGTACCAATTCGCCGGGTCTGACCGCCACTTGCACCGGCAGTGGTAGCAGTGGGAGCTCCGCTGGACCCACTGGTGGGTGGCGAGCTGGTCAATTCGAAATTATCCTCCTGTTGAGAGTTCCAGATGTACGAAAGTTCCTCAATCACATCGATGGCTATTATATAGGTGGACAAGGTCCGTAGATTAAACGATTTGCGTTGCTTGATAACGCTAAAGATCTGCTGAGTGAGCAGCACATCGTTAAGGAGATTCAGCTGCTGGAGCACCAGAAGGTCGCTTATCAATCGGTCCGGGCAGCCGGGTTCGTAAACCTTTCGGCTGAGCCGGCTGATGATGGCGCCTACGCAATATTGAACCAAAGCGGATCGGGTGAGCGGCAAGAATACCATGTGGCGGTGGCCCTTCAGCGACATGTTGTCCAAGAGTTGGCCCTGAGTTGTGGGCAGTTCGGAGAGGATCTTAAGGATGCACTGAAAGCCTTGAAGCTAAGAGAGAGTAATCACAATTAAATTATGCCTTTTCTAAATGAGAATTTAACTTACAGTCATGCTTCCCTGCATCAGATTGAGGCTTAGGATCTGCAGACTCTGCACCAGGCTGCTCTGCGTGGTCATGTCGGACATCAGCTTGTTGGCCTCATCCCGGTGGCCGAAGTAGATGGCTAAGTCGAATAGGAATCTTGAGATCCACGGCGCCAGGGGAAGGGCCAGCATTAGCTGACTGAAATCCCTCTGAAACTGATCCGTATTAAGCAGCTGCCAGCACTGGGCGGCGTGCAAGAAGGCCTTAGATAGCTCCGGGCTAAGGGGAGTTGTCAACGAGAACTTTGGTGGCTCCATGCTGGGGACTTCAGAGCCATCGCCATCGGGTGTCCATTCCATAAAACCCTCTACAAGAACATGACTGATATCCGCATCCTCGATTCGCAGCTTACAGTTCCGGATGTAGCCGTGCAGCGAGTAAATAAACAGGGTCGTGGCATAGAATAGGACTTGAGAACTGCCGGCAGGACTCCCGGAGAGTATGTCCACCAACTTCTCCCAGTAAACGTTCTGATTAACATGCTTACTGAACGGCAGAAACGGTTCCCATCCCATCATCTGGCCGCAGATCATCAACACTTTGAATATGTTCTTCCAGGCATCCGCCGTGTCCGACTCATCCATGATCTGTCGCAGATAATACTCCAGAGAACTCGTATACAGCCTGCAGGCCAGAGCTGGCGATAGTTCCGGCGGTTTATTCTGTATCATGGGCAGGACCTCCTCCACCAGTATCCTCTGATACAGATCCGGATCCGTTTTCATGCCCTCGGCGAGCATTTCCAGCAGTCTGGGTGCCTGCGTTACAGCCGACTTGGGGAACTTGTTGAACATCAGTATGTAGATATAGATGCACTGCTCCAGATTGTCACCACTATGGTTAATGGTGTGCATAAATATGTTGTGCTGAACCTCAGGCGTCAAATGCTTGTACATCTTCACATAAAAGTCCTGTTCCGGCGTATTTTCATTCTCGTTCCTCAGGGCGTTCGTTAGCGAATTGATTTCCTGCCACAATTCCGAATGTTGATTCGGAAAATTTGTGGCGCTATAAAGAATAAAAGCAGATATTTATCATTACCTATATTGATTAATTTATAATTAAGCTTACATGACGCTAAAACACTTGGCAGCCTCTTCGTAGTTTTTGCCATCGCGCTCCAGAAGATAAGCCTCATATTGCACATTAAAGGCAGCGGGATATAGCGTTTTGGCGGTTATTATCCAGGCTTTAGCGGCGCAGGGATCGTTTTTCCGCAGGCTTTGCGCCTGTTTAACCATGTACAATTCATTTTCCTCGTTGGAATTTGTCATTTTATTTGCTCGAATTTTTTAACAAAACATTAGCCGGCCGCTAGAGATGAGTCTACCAATTCTATCGATAGATCGAGTTTTTATTTTTATTGTCCTCTCGATGACACTTTTGTTTTGAATTTGTTAAAAGGTATTTTTCCTTAAAGTAATTTTATGATATGATAGGATCTCTATTATAGTAATAACAAGAAAGTTCGCCCAATCACTTTACTTGGCCCAGACTGAGCTCAACAGTCTCTGATCTATCACTGTTAACGTTCAACAGCTTAATTCGATAGGTTGGTTATCGGAAAGTGAGCGGCACAATTTGAAATCAGTTGATAATTTACAAATATTTATTTAGGCAATAAAAGCTACAAATAATGCGAAATGATATGTTCAATTTGTTTCTTTGTGTTGGTGCTGGACTGGGGTGGATGGGCAGTGTGTTGTTACTTAGTCTTGGACTTTTTGTGTCGGCTTTCGCGTCTGAAAACAGAAAGATGGGAAAACATGTTATATGAAATGGCAGCAGTAAGAAATTCACCCTTTTGGTTTCTTAAATGAATAGCTTTATTTGAATACTTTCTTTCGTTCTCTCATCTCACTTCTCTTTATATATATTCATATATAGAAAGTGTGTTTGTTTTGCTTCAATTTGTTTCAGTGTAGGGTGTGTATACTTAGCCAAACGTTCAGTTAACTAGGGCATTACTATATAGGTATTGTTCATGTTACGTTTACTGTTAAATATAATTAATATAAATATGCATTTTCGTTTATAAGTTATCATTGCGTCCTTTTCCGCTCTCATCTGATTTCATTTTTCATTTTGTGGCTGCTTTTCTTGAATATTTTTTCCTCTAAAATGTGGTTTACACATATAAAAAATAATCCTTGTCATATCTTCTTCGCGATCTCTTACGCTATACGTTTATAAATATGTTTCTGGGGGGATATTAGGTCTATGGGCTACACACTTACTGTTCTAATGGGGAAAACCATTGAATAGTTTCCCCGCCTTTATTTTACCCCCCGGGGCTTGGTTACAAAATGCAATTAAATTAAACACCTATACTTCGCTTAGCTTGGCTAAAGCTTCTCTTCAAATCAATTAACCAAGTCAAAAGTTATAATTTTGAAAACAATCACTTTATTTTTGATTTCCAGATGGTTTCAAACACAAAAACACGCATAAAATGAATCATTTTTTGATTATCAAACTCCTTCAAGTGACTTAAACGAGGTATAGGTGCATTTTGTGCTATATTATTGCTTTAAACAATGCCTGTATTTGTTGCGTTAGCAACAATTCGTGGTTATAATCAGCGGAAGGAGCGAATGGGGCATTGCAAAGTAAGATTACAGAGACTTTCTTTCATACAATTGTCCAGTTCGATTTCTTTCCTCTCTTTTTTTTGGCACATTGTGCTGCAATTAATATTTTTCGTTCAACAAGTGTGTTCTCGTTTCTCGTTCATAATCTTCATAAATAAATACACATAAAAAATATGCTATAAGAAATTGCTGTACAACAACAAGTGAAGCGTGTGTTTCGTGTGAAGAAGGGAGAGGATTTTATGATCAAAACTTTATTGCATAGCGAGCGATTTTAGTTGAAGAATATTTGCATTTCGTTCGGGAACTCGATCGATCGGTTAATCATCATTTTTTCAGAGTGTAGAAAATATAAATTTGTTCTAAAAGTGTCAGTCTATTGCGCAAAATCTACTTTTGTCGTGATTTCTACCCGATTTATCGATTAGTTTAAGGTTGCGTGTTCTTGCTTTGTTTCATCGTATATATATAAAAAATTCCCTAATATTTATGCATCGTGTATCATTGTTCGTTCAGCCACGAATCCACGCTGCGATCCCATCCGAGCCATACCTCCATCGCCTCTCGTCCCACACATTAGATGCCAGCTCGAGACGACGATCTGGTGTGGATAGATGGATCGTTCAGGAAATCTGGAATTCACGGCTGTCCTACGGCAACTAAATACGTCATAATACAGCTATTGCTACGACAGCTAGGTCGCTACGACTACTACTTAGTGGCTACGGCGGGGTCACTTAACCTAGCTTCGTGTATGCGTAGGCGCAGATCACGCCCACCACAACACCAGCGGCAATATATGTGAGTAATGACCTTCGTTTCTTTGCCGCCACCTGGCTGTCCTCGTTCTCCCGCTGCTTCCGCTTAATGTCGTTGACCTTCTGCTCCAGACTGGCCTGGTACTCGTTGCGTTTCCGCCGCTTCAGCTCGTTCTCGGGGCTAGAAAAGAGGAGTTGATTGGTTAGCGCTTTGTGGAATGCATTTAAGGACTTCTTCTTACCTGGCTGAAAGCTGCTGGCCTGGAATTGTGTCGATGCCGTTGGCCTTGCTGATCTGTTCGCCAGCGGCTGGCGCAGGCTTCTCGTTGTTGGCATTTACATCATCGGCCTGTGTCGTCGTTGTCGGTATGGGAACATGACCATTGACGGGCTCCGTATCGTGATCGTCGTTGTTAATCGTCTCGTATTCCTCCTCCTCCTCATCCTCGTCATCATCCTCGATGTCTTCCAGCGAGTAGTCATCGTCGTCGTCGTCCTCATCGCTGTCTGAATCGTTACCATCTCTTACCAAGGGCAGCGGCGGCAAGGGCCGCAGGCGATCAGCCACCTCCGCATCGCGTATAATGTCGTGGGGATGATTGATGATGTTGTTCAGGGCATCCTTGCTGCTTAGTTCACCGATAAAATCTCCTGCCATCGCCGCTCCATTGGCCTGGGCAGCGCGCATGTCCAGCGAGAGTACGCCGCCAGAGTTGGGAGCCAGTGGCAGGATAAGCGATTGAACGCGGGGTGGCAACGGTGGCGGCAGCTCGTCCAGTGTGTGATTGGTGTCTGTGTCATTGCTGATTGTCGGCTCCTCAGCGTTGAGAAAGGTCTGAGAAACGGGGAGTTAAAGAATACATTTATGGTTAGTTTCATGCTAAGGCCACAGGTGTGCCACAGAAATCTCTACCAACCGAAAAGCAATGTCATCTCCTTTTTTCATCGCATCAAGGTAATTGCAAAATAAATTTAGGTTTTAAAGTATTAAATTTTGGTTATTTATTATTGCATTTTGAAATAGGATAACTTGTACTATTAGTAACAGTAAGAAAAGGCGACCGATTCCTTTGATCACAGATTGTTCTTTGTGTGTCATTCAAGAATACGATAAACCATAAAGCCTAGCGATTGAAATCTCTAGAAACTGATACTGTGACAGCCTCTAAAGATTGCCGTGACACCCCCTCTTCTTTTTCTTCTTCTTTTTTTTAATCATTGCAAACGGCGCCGCTTGACAGACAATGCCGTGGAACTCCTTAAACGTCTTCCAATACATACGGGATCTTGCAGCTTCTGGATGCCCTCGATGATGGCCTGGTAGGAGAAGTCCAGCTGGTCGGCGGTCTGGATCAGACCCATGCGATAGCTGCGCAGCTCACACAGCACCTTGGATACATTGCATTCGCCATACTGATCGATCAGGACCAGGCAGCAGTCCACAAGGCAAAAGGTACCCGATCTTCCTATGCCGGCACTGCAGTGCACCACCGCTGGTCCCACGTCGCGGCTGAGGCAGCCCGAGTCGCGGACTTGCTGCAAGAACTTGAGGAATGCGTCCGGCGAACCGGGTATGCCAAAGTCTGGCCATGTTGTGTAATGAAACTGCAACACCTCCCGGCTCTGCTGCGTTTCGAGATCGGTTAATCTGCAATTGATCATTTGATTTAAGTTTTTGAGTTGTTAAATTAAGCCTGGGCTTGGACTCACTTGAACCACCGCCGTACAAAGTTCTGGTAAGTCTCGCAGCGTACGAGCTCCACCGTGAGCTTGACATGCGGCAGCTTGAGGGCCTTATCCGCTCCCATTTCGTTGGGCCAGTATAGGTGGCACTTGATCTGCTTCTTCTCCATTAGCTTATTGAGCATCAGAATGGCGGTGGACGCCTGCTCCCAGACCATTAGCCAGAAGTGACCCACTGTGTCCTCCAGGGGTCCCTGGGTTAATATGTACTTACGAGCGGCGCGCTCCATCTGAAAGGAGGGGTAAACGGAAGGCAACAATGCAAATTGGATTACCGATTGAAAAGCCATTACTTGACCCACCTTAACCAGATTGGCATTGATGTAGTCAACGCTGCCGCGCTTTAAGACGATGCGCGAATGGTCGTATGGATTCACATCCCGATAACGATTCAGGCCGCGGTTCTGGTGGCGTTCCGATTCCGAAGTGCTGAACTGTTGTTCCTTCGCCTCCCTGTCGCATTTCTCACAAATTTCCTAGAATTAAAAAGGTCATTAAGCCAAGCGAAAAGCAGCTCAATTAACGCAACTGATAGAGGGCGGAATAAACCTTCGACCATGAGGAATTTCGGACACTTATCAGTACAAATATGTTGACAATTCGGTTTTGTCTTTTTCCCACAGAGTGTGGTTATTTTGTTATAGTTAGAATCTAAGCAGAATATCAATGAAAAACGACAAGTGTATACGTTTTAATCAGGCAATTCTTGGAAAATGAAACTTTGAAATAAATGACCCATTAACGGGATACTTAAAAATTTATTCATTCTGAGAATTCGTTTGCTGGAAATACGCTTCAAAAAGCTTCGAAAGTGCTGATTAGGAGCAGCATTGACGAAAATATTTCTTCTTTGCCATAAATTATTTTCAAAAAAGCGATAGATTTTCTCTAGCTGTACTCTATCTTTGAGGCTAATACTTTAGGTATCTTTAAGCCCAAAATATTTAAGTATAAATGTAACAAAACGGGTGTGACTCAATGCATTCCACAAAACTATTTGTTTACAAATATAGGCAACAGGCCTAAAAATAAGTTAACGCACTCCCACATAAGGAATGCTTTATTAATACATCATTTATGTTCTCTGGAAAGTGGATATAACAAATGACATTTCTAATTTCTGGAAAAGAAAACATATTTTCTGGCTGCCTCTGGCAGAAATTCTCAGTAAACAAGTCGGGAAAGGTGGGAAATTATTCGCATTATGATTTCCAATAATTTTTCCCACACCATGATAAGCTTTCGGGGTTCTTTTGAGGCAGAGGATGAAATTTTCTATGAAATCGAAGGCTTTCTGTCATTGGGGGGGTTGCCCCCATTTGCGACCCTGAGTCACCACAACCACCTGTCCCCACTCACACGACGCGGGCTTCTTTTGTATTCAGCTTTTCCCCGGAGGTAGGTGGGTTACCAAACCTACACTGCACAGACACGGCTGTGGCAGAGGAACCGGGCTGTTCCTCGATGGGAGTGAACCCAAGCCCAGCTGACAAACCGGGCGTGACTAATTAGCCAAGCAGCAGCAGCAAACGTCGTCGACTCTCGGCTGCCGTTAATGGCATTATCTTGGGCATGACCGTTGCCGTTGTTGCCGGCATTATCAGACGAATGTATGTATAATTGCTGGCACAGCTGTATAATGGCCACGGACAATCGAACCTAACCGAACCGAACCGAACAGGACACCCAACAAGGTCAATGGCGCCAAATCTGACACGCTGACAGTAGCTCCTCAAGCTCAGATTTTGGCCACCGGATATTTTGAATCACATGCTTAGTAAAGGATGAGTAACAACGATCAGAAGCCGTGATTTATATATGGTTTTGCCGGCTGATAATGCAGCAGCTTTAGTTGATTAAAAAATCAGTTGTTAATTGTCTGTGTTTGTCATGATTCAAATGTGAATCACACACACACACACACACAGTCAGAGTTGCAGAGCTCGAAAATGCAAATACAATCATATCCGTAAACCATCCATCCATCGTCAACAACAGACTTCTCTTCTTTGTTATGAAATCACCCGCAACAGGCGACTTCTTACGCAATCTTCACAGACGAAATCTTTTCTGGGGGGGGGGCAATGTCCGATAAGGCATTAAAATTACAGAGAAATGTTATTTGGCAATTCAGTTTGATTTGTGATCACAATAATTAATAATTATTCTTTGAAAATGGAAAGTAAACCTGAATTGCATTTGAAGATTCCACAGAAATCTCACTATCAATTATTTGACGTGTATGAATTATCAGTTTGTCACGTGAAAATATATGCTGGGGAATTTCTTTGGTATTTTATACTAATATTTTCAAACTGATAAGAAGAGCTTTGTTTTGTTCTTTTGTTTAGGAAAGAGGGGGATTACTCTAGTTTATTTCCCATTACTTAATATTTAAGATAAGAACTGTGGAAGCAAAGCGTTCTTTACTTAATAAATCTACTTCTATACATGTATCAGTAAGGAAATAATGCACTTTTAAATGATATTTCTTCCAGCTTAAGGAACTAAGCCTTTTTCTTACAAAGTCAAACATTTAGAAAGGCAACTAATACTCTTCTCCTAAGCAATACCATATTTCCTTAACTTGGCAAACTGTTATGTTATTTTATGCTTTGTGGTTTTCCAGGTGACCCTTCTAAGCTGCATGGGGAAATCTTCTGCAAGGTGAGTGAGTGGAGGAGAAGATCATCATCATCATCAACATGGGGGCTTGAATTTCCAAAGCGTGTCGTGCAAACAGTTTGATTATTTCGCTTTGCATTGCCAAAGAGAGGAACAATAACAAAAAAGCATTGCATGCATGCTGATCATAATTGCGCAAAGAGGAGAAACGGAACGGAATAGAGCGAGAGATCCAGAGAAGTCGCTAGGTGTAACCTGATAAGCAGGGGGAGGGGACCAGGTAACGGGAGTGCGTTCAATGGAAATGATTACACATTGAAGTGCGCAAAAAAAGCATAACAATAAAACAAAACCTATTCAAATGCGTCATTGCGTTTTGGCTATACAGTTGAACCTGGCAGAATGAAACTATAATCATAAATTTAAGATTATTAGATTAATTAAATTAGCTACAATCGAAATTCCTTAGAATTTATACAATCAAAATCATTATTTAAGTTTTTAGAACATTTAAAACATTCTTAGAATGAAAATTGTTTTTTGTTATGAATTTCTACAGAAATCTGTTCTTGATATTCTTCGGAAAAATGATAAACCTTCAGGTTATATGCAAATAAAATTTTACTGTTCACCATACGGCGATTCCACTGTAGTAACCACCGCAATGACTCACTTCAACAACTTGTTGAAGAACTATTGAGTTAGGTCCAAAAAGGTGTTGTGAAATTCCTCCTTTGAGACCCCTAAAGCTCATATTATTATATATGATGGTTTATATCATTTATGGATCAACTAGAGAACTAAACTTTATATAAGCACCCCCGATGATTACCTGGTGCAGCTCCACCTTCATTAGAAATACCTGTGAGCACACATTTTTCCAGCCAAAAGCGACATTTAATTGTGTGCGTACGGACACCTTTCCAGTTTAGTTGGAAAATTGGATTATCCTCGGCAACGGCAAGCGAACGGGCACAAAGGATGCGATGCCAGGCCAGAGCTGAGGGTTCCAAAAACCGAGATACACAACGCAACGCAACGCACACTGTCATCCTAACTGCGGAGTGAAATTCCGTGAAATCCCAATTCAAGTGAGTGGCAAATGGAACAAGACGCAGGAGGTGGTGGCAGAGGAGGTGAAGGCGGAGGAGGAGGAGGAGCAGCTGAAGACACAGTTCGCCGGAACTGGCTATAAAGCAGAAACTGCCAGCCAGCCATCCAGCCCAGCTCGGATGAAGATGAAGAGGCAATGGCAGAGGCAGAGGAAGAGAGGAGGAGGAGGATACCGACAGGCAACCAGAAACCCAAAGCGAGACTCAAAAAACCAGACGCATGCCCTTTGTGCCCCTGTATGCGTGAGTCTCCTCTGTGCGTCTGTGTGCGCCTGTGTGTGTGTGTGTGTTTGTGATTGTGTTTGTGTAGTTCTTAAGTGGCAGCCACTGTCACCCCTCGGCGATTTATTTTGGTTTTTTTTTTTGTTGTCTGTCAATGGGGCAATGGCAAGAGGGGGCAACCTGGAGGAATCACAACAACCAGCATTCCCAGGAATTTTATCCAATTTTATTTTGCCAAACGAATTCGCGGAAGAGGTACGCTCTAGCGATAGTCAAAGAAAATTGCTTTTTGGGGAAAGGTACATAGGCGAGCGAGCGAGCATAAATATGCCAAATACATACAAGAGTTGCCCCCTGTACGTGAGAATGCAAAGTAAAGTGCAGCAGGTGAGCGAGACTCCGGCATGCATGTGTGCATGCGAGTGTGTTTCAGTATTGGTGAGAATCTGTTGGTACATTATTTTTGTTTTTCGGTCAAAGCCTGGCTGGTGACCACTTATAAGCCAGTAAGAGGAACAACAACAACAACGGTAAGAACAAGAACACTATCACACAGTGGGGCCCACACAAACACACCGAAATATACACAAACAGGCAGGCACACACACACACACCTACGGCCGAGAGTCCCGCTGTGCGTGTATTGGTGGTGGAGGCATCTGCAGAAGCCTTTTGCGCACTCATCACATTTTCGTGGAAATCCAAAAGAAGGAGCAGCCGAAAGGTGTGCGTGCGTGCGTTTGTGGGTGTATTGTTTCAAGTCCTGGCATTTTCCAACTTTGTACACTTCCGTTTTTCATTGCAATTGCACTACCGACGGGTCGTCGCAGTTGTAGTTGTTGTTGTCATTTACCTTATAGTAGCGCGGCCACACAGGCTTTTTACTGTGGTATTCCGCCTCGATTTTCTGTCGTGCGGCGGCATTGTCCATTGAAATCGCCGTCGGAGACGACCCACTCGTTTTTTGATCACTCATTGTACACCGTTTTCTGCGTTTTGTTGCAATTTAATAACTTTTAATTTGGAGTTAATCACGGCGTTGACGAAGTTTGAGATGGGAAACTACATCAAAATATCAATCTATCGATACTTGACGTATGGAATGTAAATAATTGTATCGATGTATTCGTATCGACGTATCGATATCTTTAAGTCTGTCCACTTTTCTAGCTAGAGACCGAAAAGTCCGGCAGCGCTGCTTGCTCGATAACGTGAAGCTGCCGGAATATCGAAACCCGAGCTACCAATTTTGCCAGACGTTTGAGTCACGAGCTACCAGCGTTGCCAGACTTATGGAATTTCGGCGAAAATTTAGCTTTTTTACCTCTATATCTAACTTGTTTCTTATTTTAGATATTTTTAGCTCGCGCAGCCAACTTCACGTCGATGCCAAAGTCAAAATAACGCGCAAAATTGCTATTTTTACAATTTGATAAGGTTTTCAATTTAAGCTGATTTTTATTAGAAGTTAAAGAAACCGCACGCCACAATGTCGCACCTTATGCCTCGGCGGACCAGTGAGTTCCGCGACAATGTTCTGGAGGACAACAGCGTTGCCGACAGACGTCAACAAAGATCCACAATGCGCGGCGGAGTCACTCCGACTCCCAAATCCACCAAGACTTCGAACCTGCGGCCTTCGCAGAGCCGTATTTCGCAGCCCCTGTGCTTGGAGCGGGATCGGGCCAGCCAGATGATCGGGACTCCCAATCACAATCACCGGCGCCCCATGTTCTCCTCCGTGGAGCGTCCGGTGGCCCTCCACTCGGACAAGAAGTGGGTGGCAGAGAGGTCGCAGCAGATTTTCGAATACCTGCGCGACGTGTCGAGCAACCCAACCCACAGTCTGGACATCAGCAGGATCAACAGTCTGCGGCAAATGACCATCAAAGAGTTTGTGGGCATAATTAACCACTTCTTCCACCAAATCTTTGGTAATCGGGTGACCGTTGGCCAGAATCATGTAGAGGACATAATAGGCGCCATGCAGCGGCTGAATTATCCTCATCAGATGGGCAAATCGTGGCTCATGTCGCCAACTACTCAGCACTCATTCGGTCATGTCATCGTTTTACTCGACTTCCTCATAGACTTTGCGCCATCCTCGGAGGAGCCGGCAAATGAGTTTCTATTCACTGACACCTCGGAGCAGCCTAGCTCTTATCAGCACAGCGTGGCCAGCGAGTCGATGGCCGTCATGTCCACCACGCAATCGCATCAGGCGCTGCAGCTGGACGAGGAGCTAAACGCCCTGCTCTTTGCCGCCTGCCGGCAGTGCAACGTTTTGTGGGATCAGGAGCACATCGAGGAGGAGGACAAGCTGAAGGCAAAGACCAGCGAGCTGGTACTATCCAAGAAGTACGATCTGGAGAACCTGCAAGCACTGAATCAGGAGATCGATGGCCTAAGGGTGAAGAATCAGAGGCTGGAGGAGCAGCTGAGCAGCGATAACGAGAAGATTCACCAACTGAAGCAGCTCACCCAGGAGCAGAATCGTTTGGCTAAGACCCTGGCTGCCACCCAAAAGGAATTATCCCACCAAATGGAGCACAACGCCAAGGTATCCGCCAAGGCCAACGAGAAGCAAGTGGATTTGGAGCGCCAGGTGGAATACGAGCGACGCCTGCAGCATAAGGTGAAGAACCAAAAGTACAACGTACAGCAGCTGCAGGATCTGCAGACGCACTCCAACGACCTGCTGAGCCACTCCAAGGTGTACGAACGCCAGGTGAAGAACGTGTCGGACATGGAGCTCAACCAGCAGGTTATGCTGGCTCGGGCCAAGCAAAAGCAACTGGACTCGGTGGAGGCCTACAACTCGGATGTCCACAAACTGACCATGGACTCTGTAATCTGCCAGCTGAAGCGAGACGGTGGTCAACAGTTGAACCTAGCGCTGCCGCTGCAACCCACACTGGCGGACATCGGCGAACATGTCCAGTGTTTGGAGGTGCTGGGCAAGCTGCTGCAGCACCAGCGCCGCCTCAACGACGAGCGACGGCAGCAGCTGGAGCAGCAGAAGGAAGCTTTAGCGGGCGAGGAAATCAAGCTGTACGCCCTAGTCGGAACTTTAAATTCGGAGCTGGCCGCTTTAAAGCAGCACCGCTCCAACTTGGAGGCCAGCCACAAGGCCAAGCTGGACGCCATGCTGCAGCATCAGCAGCAGCTGCTGGAAACGGATTTCGAACTGAGGGTCCAGCTGGAGGAGCAGCAGAAGATGTGCGAGACATTATTGCAGAAGCTGACGGATTTGGAGACACGGAATGAAGAGATCATGTCCTCCGCTGAACGGTATCAGGAGGAGGACCTGCAGGCTCGAAATACCCGGTGTGACGAGATCGAGAAAAAACTGGAGGAAGCTGAAGAGGAGCTGGAGGCCTTCACTGCTACGCTGGCCACCAATAAGGCTAAGCTGGAGTTGGCCAAGGAGGAGCTGGACTCATTCCCGATGCCGTCGTTTGAGCCAGTGATGGAAGCAATTAATAAGCTTTGTTTTTAGGCAAATAGTGTAGGTTGATGGTTTGGTTTTTATTTTTAATAAACAAAATATTTATTTTTGAATTTGGCGCTAATTAATAGAATTGACAGTGGGACCAGACTTCAAGAAGAGAAGAAGTTATCGTGGTTCAGTTATCGTGTGGCAGCCATACTCTTGTTACTTAATTAATTAAACTAAAATAAAATGCTAACACGCGTGTTCCGCTTGGTTCGCGACCAGCGTTTAAGTGTTCCCGTGCTGCGATGCTTCCACCACGAGTTCTCCAAGCCGGAGCCACAGGGGGCGGCTACCAAAACCGAGGAAAAGCCAACAAATCCCTTCCACAATGTACCGGGCGGTGTTGTGCAAAGCAAATACAAAGTATTCCGCGATGATGAAGCCACCGAGATCTTTGATGTGGAGGAGGCACGCTACCAGGAGCAGCAGCTGCCCAACGAGCCCGATGAGCAGCAGGACCAGTACTATGGCTTGAACCTAAAGCGTAAGCGCTAGGAAATCCTTCACCAAAAAAATACAGGGTCTAAGACTGTTTTTCTTTTACAGGAGGTGTTCGCGGCGTGTTCGATGTGGAGGACTTGGTAGAGCTGTTGCGGAAGGAGAATGTCGACGACATATTCGTGTGCTATGTGCCCGAGGAGCTGAAATATGTGGATCACCTGGTTGTGTGCAGTGGAAGGAGCTACCGACACATGCTGTCCACTGCGGAGTTTGTGCGTCGTATGTTCAAGATTAAGCGTAACAAAAGTGACATTCTGCCGCGTATTGAGGGAGACAAGAGCCGGGACTGGATGGCCATGGATTTGGGTTAGTATTTCGAGTGATGCTCAGTCAAGAATCCCATCTTTCTTTTTCGTTATTTTCAGGCAACATTGCGCTGCACATCTTTTCGCCCAAGGCACGTGAGGAATACGACCTGGAGTCACTGTGGGCCATTGGCTCCGAGTACGATCGCGAGAGCCAAAAGCCGCATAATCCCTATGGAGATATTTTCATGGCTCCCTCTATAGCGACAGTTCCAGCTCCGTTAAACCAGGAAACGTAAATTTCTTTGGCTTTACTAGTTTAATATATATACATTGCTTCACCAGACCACCGCGCCGTCCGTGATCTTTTTGTGGAAATCGTAGAGACTGGGAAAGACATGATCACGATCGATATCCTCACCGTACTTTTTCACCAAATACGCGTAGCTCTTCTCGTGCACCAGGGCCGAGTGCCAGCCATGCTCCTTGGCGGCCAGATAATCTGTAGTGGGTCCATCGCCAATATGCAGGCACTCCTCCGGCTGGAGATTCTCCAGGCCCGCCTTCTCCATGGCCTGGCGGAAGATCTCCGCTGATGGCTTCTCTGCTTTGACCTCGTACGAGGTCAGGGCAAAGTCCAGATACTGATCCAGTTTGGTGTTCTGCAGAAGCGCCGGCAGACGCGGATCAAAGTTGGCTATCACGCCCAGCTTGCACTTGTCCGGCTTCAGGTCCTTTCGCAGTTGCTGCAACAGCTCCACGCTGCCATTGCAGGGCTGCCAGCAAATAGAGGTCTTGTAGAGCTCAATCAGATGATTGGAGAAGTTCTGCAGCTTGTCATCGGGTATGGCGGCTCCGCTGTCCGCAAATGTACCTGTGTGGGGGGTACACAGATTTTGATTCCTTATTTAAATCATAAATTTAAAGGTCAAGTTCAGTTGAAGATTATCATCAATTTGCAAAGTATATTTAATTTGGTTTAAGGTCCATAGGGGACAAAGGAGATAAGGCGCTATATGCTTTTCTTTTTGAAGATAATTTGAATTAAATTTGAAAGATTAATAAGTAAATTATAGGAAAAGAACTTAAAATATCCATAAACATTAATTGCTTTTACTATTTTAAGTTTGGCAAGACGACGTATAACAACAACATCGATTAATTGCACTTTGGAACAAGCTAAATTGTTTATCACCCGGTTCGCTGAGCTGTTAAGAAGACAAACACTCAGCGGGCACAGGTTGGAGGCACTCACCTGCTATCAGCTTACGCCACCACTGCTGCCACTCGATTTGTGGCTTTGTGTCGCTTCCAAAATTGGGATAATCCCGGTTCATCTTGTACCTGCAATAGAGGAGTAAATGTATTTGGAGAAGCTGAATGAAGCACTATGATCCCTTACCAGTTGGCCTTGTAGTTCTTCGCCAGCTCATTGTTGTCACACCGAGCGCCAAAGAGGGCACCAATCTCGCCATACTGCTTGCCGGGTGTCGTCCGGAACTGGAGGAGGGTGTTGGTCACATCAAAGGTGATTAGACGGAAGCGACTGAGGCTGCGCATCTCGGATGGGGGGGGGCTATTTACTCTCGTCGTTGTTTAGTGACCGAGAACTGCCGGCGAACTAAGTGAGCTGCTGGCGTTCTGTTATTGTTTTGTATGAAAGCCGATCCACCTCGTTATCAGCTTTTGCAGGCAGCTGGCAAGATTCGAGCTCGGTTCGGATCGGCTCGGATCGGACCTCGGAGCATCGGCACACTATACGCATTTGTGTTTATTACTATACATATCTATTATCGGTGGACCCTCAGGGGGCAATCCCTGCGGTTATCTCTCGTTACTGGCTGTCATATTGGTATATCGATTTGCAATCTGCACTGATTAGCCTTTGATATGCAAACATTATTATAAAAGATAAGAACGTATTTATTATCGCGGCTTCTGTTTAGGGTTTTTTGTGTCAATTTAAAATGCGCGCGCAAGCAGCTAAGTTACTAAAAAACCTTAGAGGGGGCGTTAGTGTTCTAAATTAAAGCAATTGATACTTTTAATCTAACTTATCATAATTTACTTGATATTTCTTTTGTTAAGAGGATTTTTATTTATTTATGATTTTTTATTGTTTTATTTATTTATTTATTATTGTTTTTTATTTTATTTTATTGAATACGCCACCTATTCACATTGGTTAGCAACTAAATAATTTGCGGTAGAAGCCAAATAGAGGGCGCTACTGCTCGATTGCTTATGCCACCATTTCCATAATAATCGTTAAACAAAATGGCCGTTTCATGACAGACTGGCGCGCAATTCAAATTTACATTTGTTTCGTTACAAAAAGAGTAATAATGACATTAAAGCTACAAAAATGTATTTAAAATAAATATTGAAGCGTTGAGAACAAAATTATCTTTAAAAATGATTTATAAATAGTTGGGTTTAATAAGTTTTATTTTCTAGTGCCATAGTTTAAAGTATATGTTTTTGGCTTTTATTCATAAATCTTTTAATATCCTTCGCTATAAATAAATCACAATTTGGGCCTGACCAAAAAGCCAGGCTTGAGGTCGAATTTCTATGGAAGGCCGAGGGTTGGGTCCCTAAAATTCCTTACATTCCGCTTGTCCAGCTTGCCTGCTTGTTTCCTTTCTTATTTTTTGGCAGGGTGGGTTTTTTTTATTGTTAAGTCGCACATTTTATTGGCATAACTGAGAGTCTACCAGGAAAGGGAATTTCCGAATAATCGCCTGCAAAGAAATTGATTATGCCATTATGTGCATTTATTGAATACAAAAATGTATACTAATTGTGTTTATATATTTTAGTACTTAATTTGGTGTAAAGTTTGTAAGAATTAGGTATTTTCTTGCGTCTTTAACAGATAAATATTTTATTTTTGTTAGCTGTCATTATAATCAGAGGTATTTAAACTTAAATTAATTAACTAGCGCCAGAACCCGCCGAATGCAAATCCCCTTAACCACCAGAGGAGAGTATCGACCCAGACACCCTTTTCCATACTCTGAGCAACTGCAGTGTTGGACCTGGGACCCTCTTGGAGGTGCAACTCCATTGATTACATTAACGTCCGCCACCTACAAAGCTTGTTTGCTCTGCTCTACGCCACCTTATCGCGCCCCCAAGCCCAACTTGGCTGCTTTGGAGGTTGCAGAAAAACACATATACACTCTTGGAAAACAGAAAAAATAAACCGAAAAAAAAAAACAAAAACGGCAAAATTCAGTTACTGTCCAACTTTCAACAAAAACTTTCCCAAGAAAAGTAACCAACCGAAGGCGGGCGAGTCAACGACTCCCCTGGAATTTCGTGTTGGCCCTTTTCGAAATGTGTCTGGTCTTGGTCGGTAGTAGTCGGGGGCCAAAAGCTCCTCCACCCCTCAGTCTCAGTCTCAGTCTCAGTCTCCTCATGCGCCTCGTCCTCCTCCTCCTCCAAGCCACTGGCAACTCCAACTCCAACTCCAACTTCGGCTGGCTGCCTGACTGCCTTTTAATATTATCTGCACTTTGGGTCTTTGGCTGCCGCCGCTTTTTCAGTTTGTTGTTCTTGTTGTTTTGATTGGTCGTTTTAACCTGTTTGCGAATTTCTACCATGTTAATAAATAATTTTTAGAGGAGTTTTTAGAAGCGGCAGCAGAAGCAAAAGTACCGCACCAGCAGCGCCATACCCAGTACACTGTAAACAATATTTTGTTTGGAACTAGGGTTTGGTAGTAGGATCGGGAAATTATACATTTTGAATTAAGCCTTGAAGCAAACTTGAAATAGATTTCAGATCCTTCTGAATCCTTTTAACTATTATTATTAATTTCAAGTCTCAAATTATATTCCTTCAGTGCAGAGAAGCTGAATCTTGTGTTGCTCCCAGCTTCTCCTGTTTCTCCTGGCACGACAACTCCTCATCTCCTCGACGGGAATCGGGAGTTGGAGTCGTCGTCGTCGTCGGATTAGGTTTGGCTGCTTCTACCGCTTCCACTTCTTTCAGCTCTTGGGCTTCGGTGCTGTTGGGCCTCTCCTGTGTGACTTGGAATGCAGCCAGACGGCCACTGCCTCTGGCCTCCCCGGCTTGGATTCCCATCCAGCGTATGCTCGCCCACTAGAATGACCAGGCCCATCTCCTTCTGCTCCTCCTTTACCTGTGCCATCTCCTTTTTGGCACTGCACCACAAACTGACACCAGAACTTTGGCAATTGGAGTAAGCTGCCAGCCAAAGGGGTCGAAATTATAGGAAACCAGAGTTCATTAGGAAGACTGTGAGAGCTTAATGAATATGTATGTCCTAGATCGAACTTAAACTAGGGGTTATAGAGGGGCTCTTAAATATCATTACTCCTTGCAGAATAAATAATAAATTGAGTTCGCTCCAACAATTTCAACCTTATAAATATTAATTATAGACTTGAAGTATTTAATAATCTTAAAAGTTGTAAAATTATATGAATTCTGATCTTAATTTTATTTGTATTTTATATCCAACAATATAGTAAATAAACATATTGATAATTATATATTCAGATTTAACCCTTAAAATATCAACTTTGATTTTAATAATAATTTATGTTAAACATTCCTATACAATTTTTCTCATTTAGTAATATTCAGTTGACTTTATATTATAATTTATTTAATAATAATCTCCTTCTGTGTGTATTTATAGAGTATTTCCCACTCTGATATACTCCACATAAGAGCTATGACCGCTTCACTTCCAACTTCTGGGAGTGCAATAGCACTGTGATGGTGTTCTTGTTTGAAATTCCTTGCCAGCTTTTTGGTTTATTTTGTGTTTTGCTCAGCGCTTCGCATTGTGGTCTCCTCTCATCTCCTGAGCCCTTCTCTAGCCAAGCCTCTGCTATCGGTTTTTACACGGAAAATAAATATGATAGCTTTTTAAGATAAAATAAATACTAGGAAAAGTAATTCAAGATTGTAGAAATTACTAGGATTTGAAAAGTATAAATTTAAGTCTATATATATAAATCTTTTTATGATGTTACCAAAGAAACCTCTTTAAAAGTTGCTGAAAAGTATGCTACAAATAAAACTAAAATACAGCACTATTAGATCTCATTTTAAAAGCATTTATTTTACTATTATGTAAATGAAGTCTTTTATTATATGATTAGATCTCAAAACTTGTTTCTGCTCCTTATTTATTTAAACAATTATTTGTTACTGTGTACCCCATTCCTCGTCTTCCGTCTTGGTCAGCATCTTCGCCGTCGCGGTCGTCGTCGTCGTGGTCTTCGGGATGGGGCTGGAGCTGAGGCCTGGGTCTGGGGCTCGTTTGTTAAATGTTTGGGTTTTGTTTGAGTTTATTGAGTGAATTCCTGGAAAAACGCAGGAATTTGTCTTTGGTCTTTCTGTTTTGTTCGCTTTTCTGTTCTGTTCTGTTCTGTTCTGCTTTTCTCTCTCAGAACCGAATGCACTCGGTGCATAAAAATCGCTTTACGGCGTTTTGGTTCGATTCGGTTTCCCAAGGTGTCTGTACGGGTTTGTCGTGATAAAGGATGGACAGGTGATTATGACTTTTTTAGCGGGACACCCAATTACGTGCGATCGGGCTGGACAGGAAATCGGCAAAGATCAACAGGGTCCAACCCCTTTTTTCGGGCCCCTTTTTTGGCCAATAAACATACGCCTTGTGACTCTGATGGGAATCGAGGATTGAAATATAATACTCCTGGGGTGGTGCTACTTCTTTTTACGGATTATAATTAAGTTTCCTTGAAGTTATTGTTCAATTTTCTAATGGTTTAAATGAATGTGACAAAGGTACAATCCAGTTTTCAATATTTTTAGGTCTTCAAGGACTTGACATTGGCCATTTTTGAAAAGGTTTCTTAATTAAATATATTCTTAGTAATTTTAAAACAACTTTACTGTTCACCTCGTTTTTATATTTATTTAAGAAATCAATTTATTTCCAGATTCACATCATTAAGCTGCCACATTCTTATTATTTTTAGATAACATTTCCAGATGACACAGTCTTTCGGGTCATAAACACCCAGATCTATTACCATTTCGCTGGCTTTTATGAAACAAAAAAAAAGGAAAATCTTAGCTCTACCATGGAGAATTCCATTTTCCAAAGATTGCCAGGCGGAAGAAAGCATGGAGCACATCAATCGGAATCTTCCCTCCTCAGTTCCGGTATTTCCCGAAATAGAAAATTCCTTCTTCTTCTGGATTTTCACCTTTTCTTTCTCCCCCCGTTTGGATTCCATGTTCCTAAATCACCAAGAAATCTCCATGGTCCGGAATGAGTGTGAATCTTGGGGGGTGCCCGGAGAAATGGTTCCCTCTTCCGGGATTTGGATGGACGACCCCTCTGATGGCTTCCAAAAATAACGGAAATGGTTTGGAATCTTGAGAGAAATTTTGCTATTTTCGACCGATGATTGAGTTGTAATGATTGGGCCACGGTTTTAGTTCTTGTTCGTGTTCCTCGACGAACATCATCATCCCCCCATATGGGATGAATGGAATGCATACATATGTGCCACAAACAGCAGGGGAATCTTGGTCTGTCAGTCAGTTGGGGATGGAAAATATAGC